CCCCTAGTGCATATACTATTAATTGTAGTTGAAGTTACCTAATGGGAATATATTAAGTATGTTGTGGTTTTACCTAGTGGGAATATATTAATGGTAGTGATGTTACCTAGTGGAATATTATTAATGTAGTGATGTTACCTAGTGGAATATATATATTAAGGTAGTGATGTTACCTAGTGGAATATATTAATGTAGTGTGTTTAACCTAGTGGAATATATTAATGTAGTGATGTACCTAGTGCAATATTAATGTAGTGAGTTTACCTAATGGAATATATTAATGTAGTGTGTTACCTAGTGGAATATATTAATGTAGTGATGTTACCTAGTGGAATATATTAATGTACTGATGTTTTCTGTGGAATAATTAATGTTTGTGATGTTACCTAGTGGAATATATTAAGGGAGTGTGTTTACCTAGTGGAATATATAATGTAGTGATGTACCTAGGGAATATATTAATGTAGTGATGTTACTATGGAATATATTAATGTGTGATGTTACCTAGTGGAATATATAATGTAGTGATGTTACAAATGGAATATATTAATGTGTGATGTTTTCCTAGTGGAATATATTAATGTGTGATGTTACCTAGTTGAATATATTAATGTAGTGTGTTTACCTAGTGGGAAAATATTAATGTAGTGATGTTACCCAGTGCAATAATTAATGTAGTGGTTTACCTAATGGAATATATTAATGTAGTGATGTTTCATGGGAATATATTAATGTAGTGATGTTACCCAGTTTCAAATTTTATTAATGTAGTGAGTTTACCTAAATGGAATATTAAAGTAGTGATGTTACCTAGGGAATATATTAATGTAGTGATGTTACCCAGGGAATAATAATGTAGTGATGTTACCTAGTGGCAATATATGAATGTAGTGATGTTACCTAGTGGAATATATTAATGTAGTGATGTTACCTAGTGCAATATATTAATGTAGTGAGTTTACCTAGTGGAATATATTAATGTAGGAGTGTACCTAGTGGAATATATTAATGTAGTGATGTTACCTAGTGGAATATATTAATGTAGTGATGTTTTCTAGTGGAATATATTAATGTAGTGATGTTACCTAGTGCAATATATTAATGTATTTATGTTTACCTAGTGGAATATATTAATGTAGTGATGTTACCTAGTGCAATATATTAATGTAGTGAGTTACCTAGTGCAATAATTAATGTAGTGAGTTACCTAGTGGAAATATTTAAAGTAGTGATTTACCTAATGGAATATATAATGTAGTGTGTTACCTAGTGGAATATATAATGTAGTGATGGTTACCTAGTGCAATATATTAATGTAGTGATGTTACCTAATGGAATATATTAATGTAGTGATGTTACCTAGTGCAATATATTAATGTAGTGAGTTACCTGTGGAATATATTAATGTAGTGTGTTTACCTAATGGAAAATATTAATGTAGTGATGTTACCTAGTGCAATATATTAATGTAGTGATGTTACCTGAGGAATATATTAAAGTAGTGTGTTACCTAGTGGAATAATTAATGTAGTGTGTTACCTAGTGCAATATATTAATGTAGTGATGTACCTAGGGAATAATATGTAGTGGTTTACCTAGTAGAATATTTAATGTAGTGAGGGTTTCCTAATGGGAAAATATTAATGTAGTGATGTTTCCTAGTGGAAATATTACCTAGTGGAATATATTAAGGTAGTGATTTACCTAGTGGAATATATTAATGTAGTGATGTTACCTAGTGGAATATTAATGTAGTTGATGTTACCTAGTGGAATTATTTTTTAATGTAGTGATGTTACCCTAGTGGAATATTATGTAGTGATGTTACCTAGTGGCAATATATTATAATGAGTGATGTTAACCTAGTGAATATATTAATGTAGTGATGTTACCTAGTGGAATATATTAATGTAGTGAGTTTACCTAGTGCAATATTTAATGTAGTGATGTTACCTAGTGGAAATATATTAATGTAGTGATGTTTACCCTAATGGAATATATTAATGTAGTGATGTTACCTAGTTGGGAAATATATTAATGTAGTGATGTTACCTAGTGCAATTATTAATGTAGTGAGTTACCTAATGGAATATATTAATGTAGTGTGTTTACTAGTGGAATATATTAATGTAGTGATGTTACCTAGTGGAAATATATAATGTAGTGATGTTACCTAGTGGAATATATTAATGTAGGTGTTTACCTAGTGGGAATATATTAATTTGTAGTTGGATGTTACCTAGTGCAATATATTAATGTAGGGAGTTTACTAGTGGAATATATGATGTAGTTGATGTTACTAGTGGAATATATTAATGTAGTGATGTTACCTAGTGCAATATATTAATGTAGTGAGTTTACCTAATGAATATATTAATGTTAGTGTGTTTTACCTAGTGGAATATATTAATGTAGTGATGTTACCTAGTGGAATTATTAATGTAGTGAGTTTACCTAGGGGAATATATAATGGAGTGAGTTTTACCCTATGGAATATATTAATGTAGTGTGTTACCTAGTGGATATATTAATGTAGTGATGTTACCTAGTGCCATATATTAATGTAGTGATGTAACTAGTGGAATATATTAATGTATTGAGTTTACCTAGTGGAATATATTAATGTAGTGAGTTTACCTAATGGAATATATTAATGTAGTGATGTTACCTAGTGGAATATATTAATGTAGTGATGTTACCTAGTGGAATATATTAATGTAGTGTGTTTACCCAGTGGAATATATTAATGTAGTGATGTTACCTAGTGGAATATATTAATGTAGTGAGTTTACCTAATGGAATATATTAATGTAGTGTGTTTACCTAGTGGAATATATTAATGTAGTGAGTTTACCTAGTGGAATATATTAATGTAGTGATGTTACCTAGTGGAATATATTAATGTAGTGAGTTTACCTAGTGGAATATATTAATGTAGTGATGTTACCTAGTGGAATATATTAATGTAGTGAGTTTACCTAGTGGAATATATTAATGTAGTGAGTTTACCTAGTGGAATATATTAATGTAGTGAGTTAACCAAGTGGAATATATTAATGTAGTGATGTTACCTAGTGGAATATATTAATGTAGTGAGTTAACCTAGTGGAATATATTAATGTAGTGATGTTACCTAGTGGAATATATTAATGTAGTGTGTTTACCTAGTGGAATATATTAATGGAGTGAGTTTACCTAGTGCAATATATTAATGTAGTGATGTTACCTAGTGCAATATATTGATGTAGTGAGTTTACCTTATGGAATATATTAATGTAGTGAGTTTACCTAGTGGAATATATTAATGTAGTGATGTTACCTAGTGGAATATATTAATGTAGTGAGTTTACCTAGTGGAATATATTAAAGTAGTGATGTTACCTAGTGCAATATATTAATGTAGTGATGTTAACTAGTGGAATATATTAATGTATTGAGTTTACCTAGTGGAATATATTAATGTAGTGAGTTTACCTAATGGAATATATTAATGTAGTGATGTTACCTAGTGGAATATATTAATGTAGTGATGTTACCTAGTGGAATATATTAATGTAGTGTGTTTACCTAGTGGAATATATTAATGTAGTGATGTTACCTAGTGGAATATATTAATGTAGTGAGTTTACCTAATGGAATATATTAATGTAGTGTGTTTACCTAGTGGAATATATTAATGTAGTGATGTTTCCCAGTGGAATATATTAATGTAGTGAGTTTACCTAGTGGAATATATTAATGTAGTGTGTTTACCTAGTGGAATATATTAATGTAGTGATGTTACCTAGTGGAATATACTAATGTAGTGAGTTTACCTAGTGGAATATATTAATGTAGTGATGTTACCTAGTGGAATATATTAATGTAGTGTGTTTACCTAGTGGAATATATTAATGTAGTGATGTTACCTAGTGGAATATATTAATGTAGTGATGTTACCTAGTGGAATATATTAATGTAGTGATGTTACCTAGTGGAATATATTAATGTAGTGATGTACCTAGTGGGAATATATTAATGTGTGAGTTTACCTCTAGGGAATATATTAATGCAGTGAGTTTTACCCTAGTGGAATATATTGAATTTGTAGTGATGTTACCTAGTGGAATATATTAATGTAGTGAGTTACCTAGTGGAATATATTAATGTAGTGATGTTACCTAGTGGAATATATTAATGTAGTGAGTTTACCTAGTGGAATATATTAATGTAGTGATGTTACCTAGTGGAATATATTAATGTAGTGAGTTTACCTAGTGGAATATATTAATGTAGTGAGTTTACCTAGTGGAATATATTAATGTAGTGATGTTACCTAGTGGAATATATTAATGTAGTGAGTTTACCTAGTGGAATATATTAATGTAGTGATGTTACCTAGTGGAATATATTAATGTAGTGAGTTAACCTAGTGGAATATATTAATGTAGTGATGTTACCTAGTGGAATATATTAATGTAGTGATGTTACCTAGTGGAATATATTAATGTAGTGAGTTTACCTAGTGGGAATATATTAATGTAGTGAGTTTACCTAGTGGAATATATTAATGTAGTGATGTTACCTAGTGGAATATATTAATGTAGTGTGTTTACCTAGTGGAATATATTAATGTAGTGAGTTTACCTAGTGGAATATATGAATGTAGTGATGTTACCTAGTGGAATATTTTAATGTAGTGATGTTACCTAGTGGAATATACTAATGTAGTGATGTTACCTAGTGGAATATATTAATGTAGTGATGTTACCTAGTGGAATATATTAATGTAGTGATGTTACCTAATGGAATATATTAATGTAGTGATGTTACCTAGTGGAATATATTAATGTAGTGAGTTTACCTAGTGGAATATATTAATGTAGTGATGTTACCTAGTGGAATATATTAATGTAGTGATGTTTCCCAGTGGAATATATTAATGTAGTGAGTTTACCTAGTGGAATATATTAATGTAGTGATGTTACCTAGTGGGATATATTAATGTAGTGAGTTTACCTTGCTCCGCCAACAGGGGACCTGCGTCCAGGGTCCATTGCTGCAGGCTCCTCCCCCAGTGAGTGGGAGTCTTTACTCAGTAACTGGAGACGTGAGGCCAGCTCCAGCCCACCACCACCCACGGCAGTCAGTCTGCCCTCCTCAGGGCTACTCTGCCTGGGCCGAGGCTCAGACACCTCCCCCCAAAGTTTGGATCTCCTCTGTAACACACAACAATCAACAAACCAATAATAACAAATACCAACAACAACTGGAAAGAAAGATCAAAGTCATGTGACTGAAATCTATGAACAGTGAAAAGGGGCCATTTGTATAGTGCAGTGCACATATTAAAGGAGTATGCTACTGGATAATATAGTAGGAAATGGGTTAGGAATAAGGGCCACTGTGCCCATCTCCACCAACACTGGCCTTCGTGACAGCATGGGCAGCGCCTTTGAGGGCTCCTCCATTTCAAGGGGAGTCAATTTCTTTCCTTCTAGGAGAGTTTGGAGTTCATAAACAAACTGAAACAGTTGCATACCACCCACTGTGCGGAGGTGTGTTGTAATCTGAAACAGGATAAAGCCAAGGTTGTGATTACGCCACCCGGAGGGTGTTTGTTGAAACAGGTATAAAGCCAAAGGGTTTGGGGATTTACTGCCCCCTGGAGGGTGTTGTTGAACGGTAATAAAGCCAAGGTTGGTGATTTTTGCCCCTGGAGGGTGTGTGCTGAACAGGTTAAAGCACAAGGTTGGGATTACTGCCACCTGGAGGGTTTGTTGACAGGATAAAGCCAAGGTTTGGGGATTACTGCCCGGGGTGTTGTCTGAACAGGTATTAAAGCCAAGGTTTGGTTGATTTACTGCCCCCTGGAGGGTGTTGGTTCTGAAACAGGTATAAAGCCAAGGTTGGTGATTTTACTGCCCCCTGGAGGGTGTTTGTCTGAAAGGTATAAAGCCAAGGTTGGTGATTTACTGCCACCTGGGGTTGTCGAACAGGTATAAAGCACAAGGTTGGTGATTTAATGCCACCTGGAGGGTGTTGTCTGAACAGGTATAAAGCCAAGGTTGGTGATTTACTGCCACTGGAGGGTGTTGTCTGAACAGGTTACGTATTAAAGCCAAGGTTGGTGATTTTACTGCCACCTGCAGGTTATGGAATGTTTCTCATCAGTTAATTCATTGGCTGACCCACCTCCTGCTGACTTAGATGGAATTCTGTGATCCATCCTTAATCCATAGCCCCACCCAGTTGACTACCATTGTTGGGCCGTGGGTGTGAAAGATTCAGCAGGCTACTGGCATTACACACCTGGCTAAAATATTACTGTAGCTCTGTTGTAATAACTTTCATAGATAACTTTGACACCTTCTGGAAACAGAAGATGCTCCACAGGAATGACAGAGTCCATCCAAACCATCTTGGCTCCTGGACTCTGTACACGCATTTCAAAGCTGCATTGAGACAATGACTTATCAATGACCCAAGCCCAGCTCAGATAATCCCTACCATAGTGTCGCTGAGTTGTCATAATACTGCAGCAAATGTACATTATCCCTGGGGCGTTGGAAGACACAATGTAAGTAACCTAATTGATGTCCCTCTAACTGCCCTGAATGCCTCTGCTGATCCTACAGCTATTGTATGCAGTAATCATATGACTATTAACCAGAGTTATACTGTTAGCACTGAGGACGTGTGCCCTAGTAGGAAGTCCACTGTGTGCAGCTCACCCTGCACTATCAGCTCCAACATAAATAACATGAGAATGTCTACTTCTGATAAGCTTCCCAGAAAAGCAATAAAATCAATCAAGCATCCCAGAAAAGTGGTAGAAATAGCCACATTAACATATGTAGCCTAAGAAACAAGGTTCATGAAATCAATAACTTGCTAGTAACAGATTACATTAATATTCTAACTATCTCTGAAACTCACTTAGATAATACCTCTGATGATACAGTGGTAGCAATACATGGTTATAACATCTACAGAAAAGAAGGAAATGCCAATGGGGGCAGTGTTGCAGTCTACATTCAGAGCCAAATTCCTGTAAAGCTTAGAGAGGATCTCTTGTTAAATACTGTTGAAGTAATATGGCTACAGGTTCACCTGCCTCACCTAAAGCCCATTCTGGTGGGAAGCTGCTATAGACCACCAAGTGCTAACAGTCAGTATCTGGATAACGTGTGAAATGCTTGATAATGTATGTGATATCAATAGAGCTGTATATTTTCTGGGTGACCTAAATATTGACTGGCTTTCCTCAAGCTGCCCACTCAAGAAAAAGGTTCAAACTGTAACCAGTGCCTGCAACCTGGTTCAGATTATCAGTCAACCTACCAGGGTATTTACAACCTGAACAGGAATGAAATCATCAACATGTTTTGATCACATCTTTACTAATGCTGCAGAAATGTGCTTGAAAGCAGTATCCAGATCCATTGGATGTAGTGATCACAATACAGTAGCCATATCTAGGGAAACCAAAGTTCCAAAGGCTGGGCCTAATATAGTTTATAAGAGGTCATACAATACGTTTTGTAGTGATTCCTATGTTGTTGATGTAAATAATATTCACTGGTCTGTGGTGTGTAATGAGGAGCAACCAGACGCTGCACTTGACACATTTATGAAATAGCTTATTCAAGTTACTAATAAGCATGCACCCATTAAGAAAATGACTGTAAAAACTTAAATCCCCATGGATTGATGAGGAACTGAAAAAATGTATGGTTGAGAGGGATGAGGCAAAAGGAATGGCAAATAAGTCTGGCAGCACAACCGATTGGCAAACGTACTGCGAATTGAGAAATCATGTGACTAAACTGAATTAAAAGAAGAAGAAACTATACTATGAAACAAAGATAAATGACAAATAATGTTAGTAAAAAGCTTTGGAGCAACTTAAATTAAATGTTGTGCAAAAAGGCAAACTCGGCTCCTTCATTCATTAATTAGATGGCTCATTCATCACAAAACCCACTGATATTGCCAACTGCTTTAATGATTTTTTCATTGGCAAGATTAGCAAACGTAGGCATGACATGCCTGCCACAAACGCAAACACTACACATCCAAGTATTTCTGACCAAATTATGAAAGACAAGCATTGTAATTTTGAATTCGGTAAAGTGAGCGTGGAAGAGGTGACATTTTTTGTTGTTGTCTATCAACAATGACAAGCCACCTGGGTCTGACAACTTGGATGGGAAATTACTGAGGATAATAGAGGACAATATTGCCACTCCTCAATCTAAGCCTACAAGAAAGCGTGCCCTCAGGCCTGGAGGTAGGCAAGTGTCATTCCACTACCCAAGAATAGTAAAGCCCCCTTTACTGGCTCAAATAGCCAACTAATCAGCCTGTCACCAACCCGTGGTAAACTTTGGGAACAAAATGTGTTTGACCAGATACAATGCTATTTTACAGTAAACAAATTGACAACAGACTTTTAGCAAGCTTATAGGGAAGGACAATCAACATGCATGGCACTTTCACACATGACTGATGATTGGCTGAGAGAAATTGATGATAAAAAGATTGTGGGAGCTGTTTTGTTAGACTTCAGTGCAGCTTTTGACATTATCAATTACAGTCTGCTGCTGGAAAAACTAATGTGTTCTGGCTTTACACCCCCTGCTATATTGTGGATAAATCTGTCTAACAGAACACAGAGGGTGTTCTTTAATGGAAGCCTCTCCAACATAATCCAGGTAGAATCAGGAATTCCCCAGGACAGCTGTCTAGGCCCCTTACTTTTTAAAATCTTTACTAATGACATGCCACTCACTGGCTTTGAGTAGAGCCAGCGTGTCTATGTACAGTGGGGGAAAAAAGTATTTAGTCAGCCACCAATTGTGCAAGTTCTCCCACTTAAAAAGTGGTTCTCTGTAGCTCAGCTGGTAGAGCACGGCGCTTGTAACGCCAAGGTAGTGGGTTCGATCCCCGGGACCACCCATACACAAAAACAAATGTATGCACGCATGACTGTAAGTCGCTTTGGATAAAAGCGTCTGCTAAATGGCATATTATTATTATTATTATTAAAAAGATGAGAGAGGCCTGTAATTTTCATCATAGGTACACGTCAACTATGACAGACAAAATGAGAAAACAAAATCCAGAAAATCACATTGTAGGATTTTTAATGAATGTATTTGCAAATTATGGTGGAAAATAAGTATTTGGTCAATAACAAAAGTTTCTCAATACTTTGTTATATACCCTTTGTTGGCAATGACACAGGTCAAAAGTTTTCACTAAGTCTTCACAAGATTTTCACATACTATTGCTGGTATTTTGGCCCATTCCTCCATACAGATCTCCTTTAGAGCAGTGATGTTTTGGGGCTGTCGCTGGGCAACACAGACTTTCAACTCACTCCAAAGATTTTCTATGGGGTTGAGATCTGGAGACTGGCTAGGCCACTCCAGGACCTTGAAATGCTTCTTACGAAGCCAATCCTTCGTTGCCCGGGCGGTGTGTTTGGGATCATTGTCATGCTGAAAGACCCAGCCACGTTTCATCTTCAATGCCCTTGCTGATGGAAGGAGGTTTTCACTCAAAATCTCACGATACATGGCCCCATTCATTCTTTCCTTTACACGGATCAGTCGTCCCTTTGCAGAAAAACAGCCCCAAAGCATGATGTTTCCACCCCCATGCTTCACAGTAGGTATGGTGTTCTTTGGATGCAACTCAGCATTCTTTGTCCTCCAAACACGACGAGTTGAGTTTTCACCAAAAGGTTCTATTTTGGTTTCATCTGACCATATGACATTCTCCCAATCCTCTTCTGGATCATCCAAATGCACTCTAGCAAACTTCAGACGGGCCTGGACATGTACTGGCTTAAGCAGGGGGACACGTCTGGCACTGCAGGATTTGAGTCCCTGGCGGCATAGTGTGTTACTGATGGTAGGCTTTGTTACTTTGGTCCCAGCTCTCTGCAGGTAATTCACTAGGTCCCCCCGTGTGGTTCTGGGATTTTTGCTCACCGTTCTTGTGATCACTTTGACCCCACGGGGTGAGATCTTGCGTGGAGCCCCAGATCGAGGGAGATTATCAGTGGTCTTGTATGTCTTCAATTTCCTAATAATTGCTCCCACAGTTGATTTCTTCAAACCAAGCTGCTTACCTATTGCAGATTCAGTCTTCCCAGCCTGGTGCAGGTCTACAATTTTGTTTCTGGTGTCCTTTGACAGCTCTTTGGTCTTGGCCATAGTGGAGTTTGGAGTGTGACTGTTTGAGGTTGTGGACAGGTGTATTTTATACTGATAACAAGTTCAAACAGGTGCCATTAATACAGGTAACGAGTGGAGGACAGAGGAGCCTCTTAAAGAAGAAGTTACAGGTCTGTGAGAGTCAGAAATCTTGCTTGTTTGTAGGTGACCAAATACTTATTTTCCACCATAATTTGCAAATAAATTCATTAAAAATCCTACAATGTGATTTTCTGGATTTTTTTCCCTCAATTTGTCTGTCATAGTTGGTGTGTACCTATGATGAAAATTACAGGCCTCTCTCATCTTTTTAAGTGGGAGAACATGCACAATTGGTGGCTGACTAAATACTTTTTTCCCCCACTGTACACATGGATTTCAAATCAAATCAAATCAAATCAAATTTTATTGGTCACATGCGCCGAATACAACAGGTGCAGACATTACAGTGAAATGCTTACTTACAGCCCTTAACCAACAGTGCATTTATTTTAAACAAAAAAGTAAGAATAAAACAACAACAAAAAAAGTGTTGAGAAAAAAAGAGCAGAAGTAAAATAAAGTGACAGTAGGGAGGCTATATATACAGTAAAATAAAGTGACAGTAGGGAGGCTATATATACAGGGGGGTACCGTTGCAGAGTCAATGTGCGGGGGCACCGGCTAGTTGAGGTAGTTGAGGTAATATGTACATGTGGGTAGAGTTAAAGTGACTATGCATAAATACTTACTTAACAGAGTAGCAGCAGCGTAAAAAGGATGGGGTGGGGGGGGCAGTGCAAATAGTCCGGGTAGCCATGATTAGCTGTTCAGGAGTCTTATGGCTTGGGGGTAGAAGCTGTTGAGAAGTCTTTTGGACCTAGACTTGGCACTCCGGTACCGCTTGCCGTGCGGTAGCAGAGAGAACAGTCTATGACTAGGGTGGCTGGAGTCTTTGACAATTTTGAGGGCCTTCCTCTGACACCGCCTGGTATAGAGGTCCTGGATGGCAGGGAGCTTTGCCCCAGTGATGTACTGGGCCGTACGCACTACCCTCTGTAGTGCCTTGCGGTCAGAGGCCAAGCAGTTGCCATACCAGGCGGTGATGCAACCAGTCAGGATGCTCTCGATGGTGCAGCTGTAGAATTTTTTGAGGATCTGAGGACCCATGCCAAATCTTTTTAGTCTCCTGAGGGAGAATAGGCTTTGTCGTGCCCTCTTCACGACTGTCTTGGTGTGTTTGGACCATGATAGTTCGTTGGTGATGTGGACACCAAGGAACTTGAAGCTCTCAACCTGTTCCACTACAGCCCCGTCGATGAGAATGGGGGCGTGCTCAGTCCTCTTTTTTTTCCTGTAGTCCACAATCATCTCCTTTGTCTTGGTCACGTTGAGGGAGAGGTTGTTGTCCTGGCACCACACGGCCAGATCTCTGACCTCCTCCCTATAGGCTGTCTCATCGTTGTCGGTGATCAGGCCTACCACTGTTGTGTCGTCGGCAAACTTAATGATGGTGTTGGAGTCGTGCCTGGCCATGCAGTCATGGGTGAACAGAGAGTACAGGAGGGGACTGAGCACGCACCCCTGAGGGGCCCCCGTGTTGAGGATCAGTGTGGCAGATGTGTTGTTACCTACCCTTACCACCTGGGGGCGGCCCGTCAGGAAGTCCAGGATCCAGTTGCAGAGGGAGGTGTTTAGTCCCAGGATCCTTAGCTTAGTGATGAGCTTAGAGGGCACTATGGTGTTGAATGCTGAGCTGTAGTCAATGAATAGCATTCTCACGTAGGTGTTCCTCTTGTCCAGGTGGGAAAGGGCAGTGTGGAGTGCGATAGAGATTGCATCATTTGTGGATCTGTTGGGGCGGTATGCAAATTGGAGTGGGTCTAGGGTTTCTGGGATTATGCTGTTGATGTGAGCCATGACCAGTCTTTCAAAGCACTTCATGGCTACAGACGTCAGTGCTACGGGTCGGTAGTCATTTAGGCAGGTTATCTTAGAGTTCTTGGGCACGGGGACTATGGTGGTCTGCTTGAAACATGTTGGTATTACAGACTCAGTCAGGGACATGTTGAAAATGTCAGTGAAGACACTTGCCAGTTGGTCAGCACATGCTCGGAGTACACGTCCTGGTAATCCGTCTGGCCCTGCGGCCTTGTGAATGTTGACCTGCTTAAAAGTCTTACTCACATCGGCTACGGAGAGCGTGATCACATAGTCGTCCGGAACAGCTGGTGCTCTCATGCATGCTTCAGTGTTGCTTGCCTCGAAGCGAGCATAGAAGTGGTTTAGCTCGTCTGGTAGGCTTGTGTCACTGGGCAGCTCGCGGCTGTGCTTCCCTTTGTAGTCTGTAATAGTTTTCAAGCCCTGCCACATCCGACGAGCGTCAGAGCCAGTGTAGTATGATTCAATCTTAGACCTGTATTGACTCTTTGCCTGTTTGATGGTTCGTCGGAGGTCATAGCGGGATTTCTTATAAGCGTCCGGGTTAGAGTCCCGTTCCTTGAAAGCGGCAGCTCTACCCTTTAGCTCAGTGCGGATGTTTCCTGTAATCCATGGTTTCTGGTTGGGGTATGTACGTACGGTCACTGTGGGGACGACATCATCGATGCACTTATTGATGAAGCCAGTGACTGATGTGGTGTACTCCTCAATGCTGTCTGAAGAATCCCGGAACATGTTCCAGTCTGTGCTAGCAAAACAGTCCTGTAGCTTAGCATCTGCGTCATCTGACCACTTTTTTATTAACCGAATCACTGGTGCTTCCTGCTTCAGTTTTTGCTTATAAGCAGGAATCAGGAGGATAGAGTTATGGTCAGATTTGCCAAATGGAGGGCGAGGGAGAGCTTTGTATGCGTCTCTGTGTGTGGAGTAAAGGTGGTCTAGAGTTTTTTTCCCTCTGGTTGCACATTTAACATGCTGGTAGAAATTAGGTAGAACGGATTTAAGTTTCCCTGCATTAAAGTCCCCGGCTACTAGGAGCGCTGCATCTGGATGAGCGTTTTCCTGTTGATTAATGGCCTTGTACAACTCATTCAGTGCAATCTTAATGCCAGCATTGGTTTGTGGTGGTAAATAGACAGCTATGAAAAATATAGATGAAAACTCTCTTGGTAAATAGTGTGGTCTACAGCTTATCATAAGATACTCTACCTCAGGCGAGCAAAACCTCGAGACTTCCTTAGTATTTGATTTTGTGCACCAGCTGTTGTTTACAAATATACACAGACCTCTACTACCACGATTTTGTATTGTAGATATGTGGTAGTAGAGTAGTGGCCTAAGAGCACACACTTAATAATGTGTTGTGAAAAGTGTTATGAAATGTAATGTCATGTAATATTTTTTATTGTATATAACTGCCATAATGTTGCTGGACCCCAGGAAGAGTAGCTGCTGCCTCTACTGGGGATCCTTAATAAATACAAAATAAAAATACTTAAAAATGGTGGAAGCCCTCAATGCCGCGGCACATATTAAAACAGGCTTTCTGGCACAAGAGCCAGAAAGGTTAGGGTCAGGGTTACCTGGAAGAGGTATCGAGGTGGGTTCGGGTTACTTGGAAGAGGTATCAGGGTGGTTCAGGGTTACCTGGAAGGGGTATCAGGGTGGGTCAGTATTACCTGGAAGAGAGGTATCAGGGTCTGGTCGTCACCATAGTGGCACAGGGCTACTCGTTTCTCCTAACTGGAGATTCTCTTTTCTCCCTCTCTCACCTGTCCATCTCCTCATTTGAATTCCATGCTGTCAATGTCTCTTGTCCACTCAAGCTTAACATTAATTTCATGTATTGCCCACCAGGTGCCCTTGGAGAGTTCCTCAATTAGCTTGACACCTTGATAAGCTCATTTCCTGATGATGGCTCACTGCTCTTCGTACTTGGCAACTTTAACCTCCTGATGTCTGCCTTCGATTCATTTTTTTCCAACTCTCTCTTTTCCCTCCTTGCCACTTTTGACCTCACCCTTTCCCAATCCTCTCCAACTCGCAAGGCAGGCAATACGATTGACCTCATCTTTACTACAGGCTGTGATCACTACTTTGTTTCCATTTCTGTCTCCCTTTCCCCCTACCCAGATGGTCATGCAACGTCGCAATCTTCGCTCTCTCTCTCCCACTACTCTCTCCTCTTCTATCCTATCCTATCCTATCCTATCATCTCTCCCTTCTACTAAATCCTTCTCCATCCTGTCTCCTAACTCTGTCTCTTCGACCCTACTATCCTCCCTTTCCACATGCTATGACTCACACTTTCCTCTTTCCTCAAGCTGGCTCGGCCCTCCCCTCCTGCTCCGTGGCTGACTGACTGAATGTACAGAACAGGCCTGCAGGCAGTGGAGTGAAAATGGAGGAAAACTAAACATCCTTCCACTCCCTCCTCTCTACCTTCTCTTCCTCTGTATCTGCTGCTAAAGCCATCCTTCCACTCCCTCCTCTCTACCTTCTCTTCCTCTGTATCTGCTGCTAAAGCCATCCTTCCACTCCCTCCTCTCTACCTTCTCTTCCTCTGTATCTGCTGCTAAAGCCATCCTTCCACTCCCTCCTCTCTACCTTCTCTTCCTCTGTATCTGCTGCTAAAGCCATCCTTCCACTCCCTCCTCTCTACCTTCTCTTCCTCTGTTTCTGCTGCTAAAGCCATCCTTCCACTCCCTCCTCTCTACCTTCTCTTCCTCTGTATCTGCTGCTAAAGCCATCCTTCCACTCCCTCCTCTCTACCTTCTCTTCCTCTGTATCTGCTGCTAAAGCCATCCTTCCACTCCCTCCTCTCTACCTTCTCTTCCTCTGTTTCTGCTGCTAAAGCCATCCTTCCACTCCCTCCTCTCTACCTTCTCTTCCTCTGTATCTGCTGCTAAAGCCATCCTTCCACTCCCTCCTCTCTACCTTCTCTTCCTCTGTATCTGCTGCTAAAGCCAGCCTTCCACTCCCTCCTCTCTACCTTCTCTTCCTCTGTTTCTGCTGCTAAAGCCATCCTTCCACTCCCTCCTCTCTACCTTCTCTTCCTCTGTATCTGCTGCTAAAGCCATCCTTCCACTCCCTCCTCTCTACCTTCTCTTCCTCTGTATCTGCTGCTAAAGCCATCCTTCCACTCCCTCCTCTCTACCTTCTCTTCCTCTGTATCTGCTGCTAAAGCCATCCTTCCACTCCCTCCTCTCTACCTTCTCTTCCTCTGTATCTGCTGCTAAAGCCATCCTTCCACTCCCTCCTCTCTACCTTCTTTTCCTCTGTATCTGCTGCTAAAGCCATCCTTCCACTCCCTCCTCTCTACCTTCTCTTCCTCTGTATCTGCTGCTAAAGCCATCCTTCCACTCCCTCCTCTCTACCTTCTCTTCCTCTATCTGCTGCTAAAGCCATCCTTCCACTCCCTCCTCTCTACCTTCTCTTCCTCTGTATCTGCTGCTAAAGCCATCCTTCCACTCCCTCCTCTCTACCTTCTCTTCCTCTATCTGCTGCTAAAGCCATCATTCCACTCCCTCCTCTCTACCTTCTCTTCCTCTGTATCTGCTGCTAAAGCCATCCTTCCACTCCCTCCTCTCTACCTTCTCTTCCTCTGTATCTGCTGCTAAAGCCATCCTTCCACTCCCTCCTCTCTACCTTCTCTTCCTCTGTATCTGCTGCTAAAGCCATCCTTCCACTCCCTCCTCTCTACCTTCCTTTCCTCTGTATCTGCTGCTAAAGCCATTTTCTACCATTCTACATTTCAAACTTATGCCTCTAGCCCTAGGAAACTATTTTCCACCTTCTCCTCCCTCCTTAGTCTTCTAACCCCTCCCCCTCCCTCCTCCCTCTCTGCGGACAACTTTGTCAACCCCTTTGAAAGAAGGTTGACGACATCTGTTCCTCATTCACTCAGCCTATTGAGTTCTCTGGTCCCACTCACACAGAACTACCCTACGCCATGACCTCTTTCTCCCCTCTCTCTCCAGATGACATCCTGTGACTAGTGACGTCTGGCCGCCCGACAATCTGCCCGTTCAACCCCATCCCTTCCTCCCTTCTCCAGACCATCTCTGGAGACCTTCTCCCATTCATCACTTCCCTCATCCTTGACCACCTTCCCCCCTCTGACTTAAAAATGGCTCTAGTCACTCCCCTCCTAAAGAAACAAACACTTGACTCATCTGACGTCAAAAACGATAGACCTGTATCCCTTCTTTCTTTTCTTTCCAAAACACTTGAGCGTGCTGTCTCTGATCAACTCTCTCAGAATGATCATCTTGACCCTAACCAGTCAGGCTTCAAGACGGGTCACTCAACCGAGACTGTTCTTTTCTGTGTCTTGGAGGATCTCCGCACTATCAAAGCTGACTCTCTATCCTCTGTTCTCATCCTCTTAGATCTAGTCGCTGCCTTCGATACCGTGAACCATCAGATCCTCCTCTCCACCCCAGGGCTGGGCGTCTCAGGCTCTGCACACTCTTGGATTGCATCCTACCTGGCAGGCCGCTCCTATCAGGTGACGTGGAGAGGATCTGTGTCTGCACCACGTACTCTCACTACTGGTGTCCCCCAGGACACGGTTCTATGCCCTCTCCTCTTCTCTCTATACACCAAGTCACTCAGCTTCGTCAGAACCTCACATGGTCTCTCCTATCATTGCTATGTGAATGACACTCAACTACTTTTTTCCTTCCCTCTTCAGCTTGGATTTCGGTCCACCACCTCAAGCTCAACAAGACAGAGCTGCTATTCCTCCCAGGGAAGGCCTTCCCGCTCAAAGACCTCGCCATCACGGGTGACAACGCCACAGTGTCACCCTCCCAGAGTGCAAAGAACCTTGGCGTGACCCTGGACAACACCCTGTCGTTCTCTGCAAACATCAAAGCAGTGACTCACTCCTGCAGATTCAAGCTCTACAACATGCGTAGAGTACGACCCTACCTCACACAGGAAGCGGCACAGGTCCTAATCCAGGCATTTGTCATCTCCCATCTGGACTACTGCAATTCGCTTTTGGCTGGGCTCCCCGCTTGTGCCATCAAACCCCTGCAACTTACCCAGAATGATGCAGTGGGGTGACATGTTCTCCCAGAATGCTGCAGCGGGGTGACATGTTCTCCCAGAATGCTGCAGCGGGGTAACATGTTCTCCCAGAATGCTGCAGCGGGGTGACATGTTCTCCCATGTCACCCCGCTCCTCTGCATACTCCACTGGCTTCCAGTCGAAGCTCGCATCCACTGCAAGACCATGCTGCTTGCCTACGGAGCAGCAAGAGGAACTGCCCCGCCCTATCTCCAGGCTATGCTCAAACCCTACACCCCAACCAGAGCACTCCGTTCTGCCACCTCTGGTCTCTTGGCCCTCCCACCCCTAGGGGAGGGCAGCTCCCACTCAGCCCAGTCCTAGCTATGCTCTGTCCTGGCACCCCAACGGTGGAACCAGCTTCCCCCTGAAGCTAGGACAGCAGAGTCCCTGCCCATCATCCGAAAGCACCTGAAATCCTACTGTGATATGTGGTTGTCCCACCTAGCTATCTTAAGATTAATGCACTAACTGTAAGTCGCTCTGGATAAGAGCGTCTGCTAAATAACTAAAATGTAAAACGTAAATGTCGGGGTCAGTTATCTGGAAGAGGTACCAGGGTGGGTCAGGGTTACCTGGAAGAGGTATCAGGGTGGGTCTGGGTTAGGGTCAGGGTTACCTGGAAGAGGTATGGAGGTGGGCGTCCAGGTCCACAGCCTGATGGAAGCAGCTCGCTGTCTGAAGACTGTTTCAGTAGAGGATCCCTGAGAGCAGAGCGACCACGGCCCAGGGGAGAACGCAGCCTGGGCTTCAGGCTCTGGGGGTCTGAGGTGGAGGAGGGCAGGGTTTTCGGCGTGGCAGGGCAGGGCAGGGTGGGGGACAGGCTGGGGGCCAGGGTGCTGCTAAGGGATAAGGTGTTCTCTATGTGAGGGTCTCCCTCCTCCACCCCTGAGTCTGGAGCTGACCCCCCCCCTCCCCCGCCCTCGCCCTCGCCTGCCTGGGGTCTCCGTGGTGACAGGCTGAGGGAGGAGGGGGGCTGGGTGGGGGAGGGGGGCGTGGCAAACGCCAGGGGAGGAGACACCAGTCCAATCTTACGAAGCTCCTCCCTCGTCTCCTCGTCACTGGATGACAGCAGTGCAGGGGGCAGAGTCACCGTGTAAGGCCCGCCCTCCAGACTCTTCCTCCTCTCTGATTGGCCCTGGGTCACCGTATAAGGTCCGCCCTCCTCCTCTGAGCTGCCAACAGTCAGACTCCTCCTCCTTTGTAATTGTCCATGCAGCGCCTCAATCAGCTCTTCCCCCAGACCCCGTCCTGCCGGCTGGCTGTCATTGGTTATATTGATGGTCACCTGACTGATGGGAGGGAGGGGCATAGCCTGCCAACGCTCGGGGGAGGGCACAGCAGGAGATGTGACTCCGCCTTCTGTCTCTGGCCGCTCTACGACTGGCCGCTCCAGCTGTCCTTCAAGGAATATGGGTGGGGTGATACGTTTGTGTCGGGGCTCAGGGCTGGTCAAGGGAGGAGGGGTGCGTTTGGGCCTGGGCTCAGGGCTAGGTGAGTGTGTGTGTTTGGGTCTGGCTTCGGGACTAGGTGTGTGTGTGTGTTTGGGCCGAGGTTCAGGGCTGGGTGTGCGTGCAGTGAGAGCTCGTTCACGGGCGGCGAGGGCCAGGGCGAGGGGGGAGGAGGGGTCCAGAGGCTTGCCTGTCAGTGGGTGGAGAAAAGTGGAGTGGGGGGAGGAGGAGGGGGAGAGGACGGGGATGGGGGGGGGCAGCTCCCCCAGGTCATCTACAGAGTGGGACTGGGTCAGTAGGATGGGGGGGGGCTCTGAAGCCCCTCCCTCCACAGACAGGAAGAAGGAGGACCGACGGACCTGAGGGGGCATGACCCGTATCTGAGCACGCTCAGTGAGGACCTGCTGCTGATATAGCTCCGCCCTGCTGGGCCCCTCCTCCACCTGCAGCTGTTTGAGCAGCGGAGACTTGCGGCGCTGAGGCTTGCTGGGGGGGGCAGGCAGTTGGCCCACGTTGGCATATGGGTTCTCTACTGGCCGGCCACGCCTCCTGTTGCCGCTGCGCTCCCCTGGAGGGTTAGGGCTGGGGGCAGGGCTGGTTCTGGAGAGGGGGCTGGGGCTGGGGGCAGGGCTGGTTCTGGAGAGGGGGCTGGGGCTGGGGGCAGGGCTGGTTCTGGAGAGGGGGCTGGGGGAGGCAGCAGGGCTGGGCCGGGACAGGGGGGCTGTAGCCCCAGCAGGAGGTCGGGCTAGGGGGGCCACGGGGGCAGGCTCTGCAGGTAGATGGCCTGGTACAGGTGAGTCCTGCAGGATGATCATTGAGCGAGCTTTCCTCTGCCGCTCTGCATGGCTCCGAGACGTTGGCGAATCACAGACGTCGTGCAGCCTGGGTTCTGCCCCCGGCTTGAAGCTGGAGTGTGATTGATCGGCTGCTCGCTGCGGGGGAGGTGGGGGGCAGAAGGCCGGCGGCGGGCCAGAGTCCAGGAAGTAGTGGGAGGGGGGAGGAGGGGGGGCAGTCTGGGGAGGAGGAGGTATGAAGCTATCAGTCATCGAGGAGCTCCGTGGAAACCGATGCTCTCCAATCAGAGCAGAGATCCTGTCGTCCTCTGGTGCACCTGCATGGGAGAGACTGGGATATTATAACCTTAATATAACAAGTCTAAGACTTGGGGGGGGGGGGGGGTTAGGGTTAGGGTTAGGGTTAGGGTTATCATAATAAATAAGGTTTTGAAGTGTCCTAGAGGTTAAGAGCATTGAGCCAGTAACCGAAAGGTCGCTGGTTTGAATCCCCGAGCTGGCAAGTTGGAAAAATCTGCCATTCTGCCCATGGATGCGGATGTCAATTAAGGGGCTGGGTTAAATGCAGAAGACACATTTCGGTTGAATGCATTCGGTTGTGCAACTGACTAAGTATCCTTTCCCTTTTATCTACGAGATATAAGAAAGCTCAGGAAATATTTTGGGGTTTTGGACACATACAGTACCAGTCAAGAGTTGGACACATACAGTACCAGTCAAGAGTTGGACACATACAGTACCAGTCAAGAGTTGGACACATACAGTACCAGTCAAGAGTTGGACACATACAGTACCAGTCAAGAGTTGGACACATACAGTACCAGTCAAGAGGAAGGACACATCTACTCATTCAAGGGTTTTTCTTTATTTTTACTATTTTCTACATTGTAGAATAATAGTGAAGACATCAAAACTATGAAATAACACATATGGAATCATGTAGTAACCGAAAAAGTGTTAAACAAATCAAAATATATTTAATATTTAAGATTCTTCAAATAGCCACCCTTTGCCCTTGATGACAGCTTTGGACACTCTTGGCATTCTCTCAACCAGCTTCACCTGGAATGCTTTTCCAACAGTCTTGAAGGATTTCCCACATATGCTGAGCACTTGTTGGCTGCTTTTCCTTCACTCTGCCGTCCGACTCATCCCAAACCATCTTAATTGGGTTGAGGTCGGGGGATTTCAATGATTATAATTATATTATTCTTTTCAATGATATTCTTTAAAAGGAAAAGGTTAACGCTGAAGAGAAAAAAAAAAATCCAATCAGGACTTTTTGGGGTGGTCTCTGGGAAGGAAAATCTAGCTAGCTAAGTCAGCCATTGGTTAGGCCCTCATGAGTTATATAGAAGGCATCTGCCTTTCAACTATATTAGGGCAGAATTTTGGAGTGACTGTGGAATCAACCAATCACATTTTGACTTGTAATGGGTGGGACCTTTTTATTAAAACGTATATGGAAACTTCCACCTTCTTGAAGGCCGACAGGTCACTGCGCAATAGCAAACATGAGTTTTCCCAGGGTCTAACTAGCTGGTTTTCCCAGGGTCTAACTAGCTGGTTTTCCCACGGTCTAACTAGCTGTTTTTCCCACGGTCTAACTAGCTGGTTTTCCCAGGGTCTAACTAGCTGGTTTTCCCACGGTCTAACTAGCTGGCTTTCCCAGGGTCTAACTAGCTGGCTTTCCCAGGGTCTAACTAGCTGGCTTTCCCAGGGTCTAACTAGCTGGCTTTCCCAGGGTCTAACTAGCTGGCTTTCCCAGGGTCTAACTAGCTGGCTTTCCCAGGGTCTAACTAGCTGGCTTTGGTTGTAGGCTAGTGTGCAGCAGCTGCAGCAGGTGTTATCGAAGACAATGTTGTTACTAATTTACCAGCTTTGCCCTTTTCAAGATGAACTTTCAACAAGAAGTTAAAACCTCTTAAGACTACAGTGCCTGATTTGGGCACTAGATTTACTGGTAATTACTGATAATATGTTTACATTAATAAAATAAGTCATTTCCCCACCGTCAGAACACAAAAAAACAGACAGTTTTTGGCAACATGATCTCATAGTTTCCCTTAGAAATTCAACATATTTTTTACGCATTCATTTTGTGTGGTTCCAGAGTTAAAACAGAAACAATTCAAACGTTCCCAGTTTAGACATTCATTCTGAGTGGTTAAGGTTAGGGCTATGGTTTGGGGAAAGCTTCAAACTAAATAACACAAAACCACCTGCTAGGTATCATCAGTATTCATAGCGTTCTCACAGCTTGCTAGAGCATTGTGAACTGTCGCGTCACAGTGGTCTAAGCAGCGCACTCCGGCTCCGAGTCGCTTGGGTTTGCACCCAGTCCTGTGCCATCGTATTTTTAAAAAATTGTGAGCGCCGAAGAAGGCAAATATTGTCTTCCTCAGGACCTTTTCAAACATCCAGCCTGATTCTAGGTCCCTCAGAGGCTTCTCTGTCAAATAAACGTGTCTCTGGTGCCATCCATTGGTCGGGTGCGTCATTACAACCCATTTTGGGTTCAAAGGGGCGGTCCTTGGAAAAGCTGCTCTTCTGGTTGACTCGCTCCTGACACCGACATTGCTGGATTCCCATCGAGCAGGCGGTTCTAAATATAAAATATTTACTTTTCAAGATTAATAATGGGGTATGGTTAGAATGGGTTAGGGTTAGAATGAGTTAGGGTTAGGGTTAGAATGGGTTAGGGTTAGAATGAGTTAGGGTTAGGGTTAGAATGGGTTAGGGTTAGAATGGGTTAGGGTTAGAATGGGTTAGGGTTAGAATGGGTTAGGGTTAGAATGAGTTAGGGTTAGAATGGGTTAGGGTTAGAATGAGTTAGGGTTAAAATGGGTTAGGGTTAGAATGGGTTAGGGTTAGAATGCGACCTACACACTTCCTTAAATCTAAAATAAGTAAATAACTAATTTTGTGTGGAAGTCCAAAACTATTTTTACGTCAGAGATAGACACAAAGAACATCAGTAGAACCAAGAAAACGTGACCTTTTCACAGCACATCTCCCCTTGTTGATTTTGATGTTCACAAATTTCACACATTTTGACTAAGGCCATAGCTTTCTGAGGGGGGGAACACTACTAGATAATTCAAAATATTGCTTTCTTGCTAGATTGATGAGCCATAGCAAAACAGTACAAAACATCTGACAGCTAAGTTTTAGATGATCATCATCTGGTGAGTGGAACTGGGTTTTTTATTGCAGCTTGCTTGCGGTTGTTAGCTATCTCTTTGAAAAAAACATTGTATTGTATTCTTCTGATTGGTAGGGAGTTATTATGTCTGAGTGAATGGGCTGCTTATACTTTAACATCATGCTGTGTGTGACTTGTCTTTCTATTGGCCCTATGTGTTTTACAAAAAGTCTCCTACATGGAGTGTCTGCTTCTCTGTCGGCTTATCAGTCTGCTTCTCTGTCGGCTTATCGGTCAGGCTGTCTGCTTCTCTGTCTGCTTATCGGTCAGGTGGTCTGCTTTTCTGTCGGCTTATCAGTCAGGTGGTCTGCTTCTCTGTCGGCTTATCGGTCAGGCCTTCTGCTTCTCTGTCGTTTTTAACGGTCAGGCCATCTGCTTCTCAGGCCTGTTTCATCCAGTTGGATTCATTCAGTGATGCTATGTTTGTTTTTCCTGGATTTTAGAGTTTGGGACAACGTGTTGGAATACTTTTTTCCCCCATTGAACGCCTAGGTCCAATAGCCATGGTTCGCCACTGGATTATGGTAATTGCTAGTATTGTGTTAGAGTAATGTAATTGTCTCACCGAAGGACTTGGTCCGGGACATTCCTCGGGGCAGCTGCATGGTGGCTTTCTCCAGACCCAGGGAAACACCTGGAGGAACAGGCATGCCCTGCCGCTCAAACAAAGACTGACACACACACAGACACACACCACACACACACACACACAGACACACACCACACACACACACACACACACACACACACACACACACACACACACACCACACACACACACACACACACACACACACACACACAGTGAGAGTATGCCCGGGATCACATGCGTTTTAAAGAGACAGAACCTGTCTGAATCAGTAGTGAAACGTGACTAAGTGAATCAATAGTAAATCGTGACTGAGTGAATCAGTAGTAAATCATGACTGAGTGAATCAGTAGTGAATTGTAACTGAGTGAATCAGTAGTATCTCGTGACTGAGTGAATCAGTAGTAAATCATGATTGAGTGAATCAGTAGTAAATCATGACTGAGGTGAATCAGTAGTGAATCGGAACAGAGTGAATCAGTAGTGAATCGTGACAGAGTGAATTGTGACTGACTGAACCAGTAGTGAATCATGACTAAGTGAATCAGTAATGAATCGTGATTGAGTGAATGGGTAGTGAATCGTGACTCATCAGACTTACATTGATCTCTTGCTGAGTAATTCGTCTGCTGGTTGGCCGCTGCTTCACGGTGGCCGTTCTGTAGTCCGCCTCCGAGGGGCGTTTTCTCATCACCACCTCCTGGGAGCCAGTCAGCATCTCCTCAAGCTTTTCTGAAATGCAACAAAGTACACAGTAGAGCGCTACACAGCACTACACAGTACAACCCAGTACTACACAGTACAACAGAGCGCTACACAGCACTACACAGTACAACAGAGCGCTACACAGCACTACACAGTACAACAGAGCGCTACACAGCACTACACAGTACAACAGAGCGCTACACAGCACTACACAGTACAACAGAGCGCTACAGAGCACTACACAGCACTACATAGCACTACACAGCACTACACAGCACTACACAGTACAACAGAGCGCTACACAGTACAACAGAGCGCTACAGAGCACTACACAGTACAACAGAGCGCTACACAGCACTACACAGTACAACAGAGCGCTACACAGCACTACACAGTACAACACAGTACAACAGAGCGCTACACAGCACTACACACCACTACACAGTACAACAGAGCGCTACACAGCACTACACAGTACAACACAGCGCTACACAGCACTACACAGTACAACAGAGCGCTACACAGCACTACACAGCACTACACAGCACTACACAGCACTACACAGTACAACAGAGCGCTACACAGCACTACACAGTACAACAGAGCGCTACACAGCACTACACAGTACAACAGAGCGCTACATAGCACTACACAGTACAACAGAGCGCTACACAGCACTACACAGTACAACAGAGCGCTACACAGCACTACACAGTACAACAGAGCGCTACACAGCACTACACAGTACAACAGAGCGCTACACAGCACTACACAGTACAACAGAGCGCTACACAGCACTACACAGTACAACAGAGCGCTACAGAGCACTACACAGCACTACACAGCACTACACAGTACAACAGAGCGCTACACAGTACAACAGAGCGCTACACAGCACTACACAGTACAACAGAGCGCTACACAGCACTACACAGTACAACACAGTACAACAGAGCGCTACACAGCACTACACAGCACTACACAGTACAACAGAGCGCTACACAGCACTACACAGTACAACACAGCGCTACACAGCACTACACAGTACAACAGAGCGCTACACAGCACTACACAGCACTACACAGTACAACAGAGCGCTACACAGCACTACATAGCACTACACAGTACAACAGAGCGCTACACAGCACTACACAGTACAACAGAGCGCTACACAGCACTACACAGTACAACAGAGCGCTACACAGCACTACACAGTACAACAGAGCGCTACACAGCACTACACAGTACAACAGAGCGCTACACAGCACTACACAGTACAACAGAGCGCTACACAGCACTACACAGTACAACAGAGCGCTACACAGCACTACACAGTACAACAGAGCGCTACACAGCACTACATAGCACTACACAGTACAACAGAGCGCTACAGAGCACTACACAGTACAACAGAGCGCTACACAGCACTACACAGTACAACAGAGCGCTACACAGCACTACACAGTACAACAGAGCGCTACACAGCACTACACAGTACAACAGAGCGCTACACAGCACTACACAGTACAACAGAGCGCTACACAGCACTACACAGTACAACAGAGCGCTACACAGCACTACACAGTACAACACAGTACTACACAGTACAACAGAGCGCTACACAGCACTACACAGTACAACACAGTACTACACAGTACAACAGAGCGCTACACAGCACTACACAGTACAACAGAGCGCTACACAGCACTACACAGTACAACAGAGCGCTACACAGCACTACACAGTACAACAGAGCGCTACACAGCACTACATAGCACTACACAGTACAACAGAGCGCTACACAGCACTACACAGTACAACAGAGCGCTACACAGCACTACACAGTACAACAGAGCGCTACACAGCACTACACAGTACAACAGAGCGCTACACAGCACTACACAGTACAACAGAGCGCTACACAGTACAACAGAGCGCTACACAGCACTACACAGTACAACAGAGCGCTACACAGCACTACACAGTACAACACAGTACAACAGAGCGCTACACAGCACTACACAGCACTACACAGTACAACACAGCGCTACACAGCACTACACAGTACAACACAGCGCTACACAGCACTACACAGTACAACACAGCGCTACACAGCACTACACAGTACAACAGAGCGCTACAACAGCCTACACAGCACTACACAGTACAACACAGAGCGCTACACAGCACTACACAGTACAACAGAGCGCTACCAGCACTACACGTACAACAGAGCGCTACACAGCACTACACAGTACAACAGAGCGCTACACAGCACTACACAGTACAACAGAGCGCTACACAGCACTACACAGTACAACAGAGCGCTACACAGCACTACACAGTACAACAGAGCGCTACACAGCACTACACAGTACAACAGAGCGCTACACAGCACTACACAGTACAACAGAGCGCTACAACACACATAGCACTACACAGTACAACAGAGCGCTACACAGCACTACACAGTACAACAGAGCGCTACACAGCACTACAGTACACAGCTACAACACCACAGTACAACAGAGCGCTACACAGCACTACACAGTACAACAGAGCGCTACACAGCACTACACAGTACAACAGAGCGCTCAACCAAATACAGCACAGTACTACACAGTACAAACAGAGCGCTACACACACTACAACAACACGTACAACAGAGCGCTACACAGCACTACACAGTACAACAGAGCGCTACACAGCACTACACAGTACAACAACGCTACACAGCACTACACAGTACAACAGAGCGCTACACAGCACTACAGACACAGTACAACAAGCGCTCCACACTACAGTACAACAGAGCGCTACACAGCACTACACAGTACAACAGAGCGCTACACAGCACTACACAGTACAACAGAGCGCTACACAGCACTACACAGTACAACAGAGCGCTACACACGACTACATAGTCACACACAGTACAACACAGAGCGCTACACAGCACTACACAGTACAACAGAGCGCTACAACAGCATCACTACACAGTACAAAGCAACAGAGCGCTACAACAGCACATAACACAGATACAAACACAGAGCGCTACACAGCACTACACAGTACAACAGAGCGCTACACACACAGTACAACAGCACTACACAAAAACACTAGCACTACACAGACAACACAGTACAACAGAGCGCTACACAGCACTACACAGTACAAGCTACACAGTACTACACAGTACAACAGAGCGCTACAGCACAGTACTACATAGCACATAACACAGTATGCACTACACTGCTCTACAACACAGTACACACGATCCCGTGTACTCAGTTGTAGAGCATGGCGTTTGCAACGCCAGGGTTGTGGTTCGTTTCCCACGGGGGACCAGTATGAAAATATATTAATTAAAAAAATTATGCACTCACTAACTGTAAGTCGCTCTGGATAAGAGTGTCTGCTAAATGACTAAAATGTAAATGTAAATGTACAACACAGTGCTACACAGTACTACAACATAGCACTACAACACAGTACTACATAGCACTACCCAACACAATACTACATAGCACTACAACACAGTACTACATAGCACTACAACACAGTGCTACACAGTACTACAACACAGTACTACAACACAGTACTACATAGCACTACAACACAGTGCTACATAGCACTACAACACAGTACAACACAGTACTACATAGCACTACAACACAGTGCTACATAGCACTACAACACAGTGCTACAACACAGTACAACATAACAGTACAACACAGTACTACATAGCACTACAACACAGTACTACATAGCACTACAACACAGTGCTACATAGCACTACAACACAGTACTACATAGCACTACAACACAGTACTACATAGCACTACAACACAGTACTACATAGCACTACAACACAGTGCTACATAGCACTACAACACAGTACTACATAGTACTACATAGCACTACAACACAGTACTACATAGCACTACAACACAGTACTACATAGCACTACAACAAAGTACTACATAGCACTACAACACAGTACTACACAGTACTACCCAGCACAATACTACATAGCACTACAACACAGTACTACATAGCACTACAACACAGTACTACCCAACACAGAACTCAACAACACTACACAACCTTATTAAAAAGTGGATCTTATTAAATACAGTGAGGGGAAAAAGTATTTGATCCCCTGCTGATTTTGTACGTTTGCTCACTGACAAAGAAATTATCTGTCTATCATTTTAATGGTGGGTTTATTTGAACAGTGAGAGACAGAATAACAACAACATCCAGAAAAACGCATGTCAAAGATGAGGGAAATAAGTAGATCAGAATCAGAAAGGTTTCTGTCTCCCAGGTGTCTTTTATACAGGTAACGAGCTGAGACACTCTTAAAGGGAGTGCTCCTAATCTCAGCTTGTTACCTGTATAAAAGACACCTGTCCACAGAAGCAATCAATCAATCAGATTCCAAACTCTCCACCATGGCCAAGACCAAAGAGCTCTCCAAGGATGTCAGGGACAAGATTGTAGACCTACACAAGGCTGGAATGGGCTACAAGACCATCGCCAAGCAGCTTGGTGAGAAGGTGACAACATTTTTACATTTTAGTCATTTAGCAGACGCTCTTATCCAGAGCGACTTACAGTTAGTGAGTGCATACATTATTTTGTTTCTTTTTCATGCTGGCCCCCCGTGGGAAACGAACCCACAACCCTGGCGTTGCAAACGCCATGCTCTACCAACTGAGCTACATCCCTGCCAGCCATTCCCTCCCCTACCCTGGACGACACAATTGTGCGCCGCCCCATGGGTCTCCCGGTCGCGGCCGGCTACGACAGAGCCTGGATAGCCTGATCATGTCTTTGTCAGTGGGCAAACGTACAAAATCAGCAGGGGATCAAATACTTTTTTCCCTCACTGTATCATATGCAGCACAACAACAGATCACATGATACAATTCCAACACACACTCACCCCCTCGTCTCCTCCTGGCAGAGGCTTACAGGAGAAAGTACAGATCAGGTTACTCACACTGTGTGTGTGTGTGTGTGTGTGTGTGTGTGTGGTGTGTGTGTGTGTGTGTGTGTGTGTGTGTGGTGTGTGTGTGTGTGTGTGTGTGTGTGTGTGTGTGTGTGTGTGTGTGTGTGTGTGTGTGTGGTGTGTGTGTGTGTGTGTGGTGTGTGTGTGTGTGTGTGTGTGGTGTGTGTGTGTGTGTGTGTGTGTGTGTGTGTGTGTGTGTGTGTGTGTGTGTGTGTGTGTGTGTGTGTGTGTGTGTGTGTGTGTGTGTGTGTGTGTGGGTGTGTGTGTGTGTTGTGTGTGTGTGTGTGTTGTGTGTGTGTGTGTGTGTGTGTGTGTGTGTGTGTGTGTGTGTGTGTGTGTGTGTGTGTGTGTGTGTGTGTGTGTGTGTGTGTGTGTGTGGTGTGTGTGTGTGTGTGTGTGTGTGTGTGTGTGTGTGTGTGGTGTGTGTGTGTGTGTGTGTGTGTGTGTGTGTGTGTGTGTGTGTGTGTGTGTGTGTGTGTGTGTGTGTGTGTGTGTGTGGTGTGTGTGTGTGTGTGTGTGTGTGTGTGGTGTGTGTGGTGTGTGTTGTGTGTGTGTGTGTGTGTGTGTGTGTGTGTGTGTGTGTGTGTGTGTGTGTCGTGTGTGGGTGTGTGTGTGGTGTGTGGTGTGTGTGTGGTTGTGTGTGGTGTGTGTGTGTGGGTGTGTGTGTGGTGTGTTGTGTGTGTGTGTGCTGTGTGTGTGTGTTGTGTGTGTGTGTGTGTGGTTGTGTGTGTGTGTGTGTGTGGTGTGTGTGTGTGTGGTGTGGTGTGTGTGTGTGTGTGTGGTGTGTGTGTGTGTGTGTGTGTCGTGGTGTGTGTGTGTGTGTGTGTGTGGTGTGTGTGGTGTGTGTGTGTGTGTGTGTGTGTGTGGTGTGTGTGTGTGTGGGTGTGTGTGGTGGTGTGTGTGTGTTGTGTGTGTGTGTGTGTGTGTGTGTGTGTGTGTGTGTGTGTGTGTGTGTGTGTGTGTGTGTGTGTGTGTGTGTGTGTGTGTGTGTGTGTGTGTGTGTGTGTGTGTGTGTGTGTGTGTGTGTGTGTGTTGTGTGTGTTGTGTGTGTGTGTGTGTGTGTGTGTGTGTGTGTGTGTGTGTGTGGTGTGTGGTGTGTGTGTGTGTGTCTCTCTCCTACCTATCTCTTCCAGTTCAGCAGTCATGGATTTGGAGCGCAGTGTGAGCGACGTGCTGGGTGCTCTCTTAGGCGGGGGAGGTGCTGTTGGGGGATGTCAGCCAATCAAATCACTCACAGCATGACAAAAATCCATCCAATCACCTTTATCACTGAAATCCACACAGAAACACACACTTTGTCCCGTACCTTTCTTACGGACTAAGTCCGACTCAGGTTTGCGTGTGACTGAAACCACCTTCATCAGCAGCTGGCTTCCTCCCTGACGGATCAACGACACCACCTGTCTGTGACCCACCTTCACCACATCACTACCATTCACCTGACACACACACACACACACACACACACACACACAACCTGTTAATTCACCATCCAACCACTGGCCATTGTATTTATGGAATGTACTTTGCGTCTGTATTTAATTGTGTGTGTGCCATAAACATGTATAGAGGACTCTAGTGCACAAAAGCCCATTTTAGCGCGGGCATTCCAATGAGGATTTTCACCATTTAGCACGGGCATTCCAATGAGGACTTTCACCATTTAGCGCGGGCATTCCAATGAGGACTTTCACCATTTAGCGCGGGCATTCCAATGAGGACTTTCACCATTTAGCGCGGGCATTCCAATGAGGACTTTCACCATTTAGCGCGGGCATTCCAATGAGGACTTTCACCATTTAGCGCGGGCATTCCAATGAGGACTTTCACCATTTAGCGCGGGCATTCCAATGAGGACTTTCACCATTTAGCACGGGCATTCCAATGAGGACTTTCACCATTTTGAAGTAGTCAACTGGGTAAATCACCAACCTTGGCTTTATACCTGTTCAGACAACACCCTCCAGGGGGCAGTAAAGCACCAACCTTGGCTTTATACCTGTTCAGACAACACCCTCCAGGGGGCAGTAAATCACCAACCTTGGCTTTATACCTGTTCAGACAACACCCTCCAGGGGGCAGTAAATCACCAACCTTGGCTTTATACCTGTTCAGACAACACCCTCCAGGGGGCAGTAAATCACCAACCTTGGCTTTATACCTGTTCAGACAACACCCTCCAGGGGGCAGTAAATCACCAACCTTGGCTTTATACCAGTTCAGACAACACCCTCCAGGGGGCAGTACGCACCCTTTCAGTTTGTTTACCAACATAGAAGTAGTAGAATATGAAAATTGACTACTACAAAATGGAGATGGTCTCAATGGCACTGTCGTGCACTCACAGACGCCATAACGCAACAGATACAACGTTGGGATCTCTATACATCTCTATGGTGTGTATAATGCAACAGATACAACGTTGGGATCTCTATACATCTCTATGGTGTGTATAATGCAACAGATACAACGTTGGGATCTCTATACATCTCTATGGTGTGTATAACGCAACAGATACAACGTTGTGATCTCTATACATCTCTATGGTGTGTATAATGCAACAGATACAACGTTGTGATCTCTATACATCTCTATGGTGTGTATAACGCAACAGATACAACGTTGTGATCTCTATACATCTCTATGGTGTGTATAACGCAACAGATACAACGTTGTGATCTCTATACATCTCTATGGTGTGTATAACGCAACAGATACAACGTTGTGATCTCTATACATCTCTATGGTGTGTATAACGCAACAGATACAACGTTGTGATCTCTATACATCTCTATGGTGTGTATAACGCAACAGATACAACGTTGTGATCTCTATACATCTCTATGGTGTGTATAACGCAACAGATACAACGTTGTGATCTCTATACATCTCTATGGTGTGTATAATGCAACAGATACAACGTTGTGATCTCTATACATCTCTATGGTGTGTATAACGCAACAGATACAACGTTGTGATCTCTATACATCTCTATGGTGTGTATAACGCAACAGATACAACGTTGTGATCTCTATACATCTCTATGGTGTGTATAATGCAACAGATACAACGTTGTGATCTCTATACATCTCTATGGTGTGTATAACGCAACAGATACAACGTTGTGATCTCTATACATCTCTATGGTGTGTATAATGCAACAGATACAACGTTGTGATCTCTATACATCTCTATGGTGTGTATAACGCAACAGATACAACGTTGTGATCTCTATACATCTCTATGGTGTGTATAACGCAACAGATACAACGTTGTGATCTCTATACATCTCTATGGTGTGTATAACGCAACAGATACAACGTTGTGATCTCTATACATCTCTATGGTGTGTATAACGCAACAGATACAACGTTGTGATCTCTATACATCTCTATGGTGTGTATAATGCAACAGATACAACGTTGTGATCTCTATACATCTCTATGGTGTGTGTATAACGCAACAGATACAACGTTGTGATCTCTATACATCTCTATGGTGTGTATAATGCAACAGATACAACGTTGTGATCTCTATACATCTCTATGGTGTGTATAATGCAACAGATACAACGTTGTGATCTCTATACATCTCTATGGTGTGTGTTTACCTCAATGAGGAAGTCCCCAGTGCGTAGCCCCGCCCTCCAGGCCACGCCCTCCAGGTCAACAGACTCCAGGTACTGCAGCGCTGGGAACGCTGGGGTCGGAGCAAACTCCTCTATAGGGGTCTCCGCTACACACACAACATGGATTATAGATACATTATCCTAACCCTAACCCTAGATACATTCTCCTAACCCTAACCCTAACCCTGGGAACGCTGGGGTCGGAGCAAACTCCTCTATAGGGGTCTCCGCTACACACACAACATGGATTATAGATACATTCTCCTAACCCTAACCCTAACCCTGGGAACGCTGGGGTCGGAGCAAACTCCTCTATAGGGGTCTCCGCTACACACACAACATGGATTATAGATACATTCTCCTAACCCTAACCCTAACCCTGGGAACGCTGGGGTCGGAGCAAACTCCTCTATAGGGGTCTCCGCTACACACACAACATGGATTATAGATACATTCTCCTAACCCTAACCCTGGGAACGCTGGGGTCGGAGCAAACACCTCTATAGGGGTCTCCGCTACACACACAACATGGATTATAGATACATTCTCCTAACCCTAACCCTAGATACATTCTCCTAACCCTAACCCTAACCCTAGATCCATTCTCCTAACCCTAACCCTAGATCCATTCTCCTAACCCTAACCCTAACCCTAGATCCATTCTCCTAACCCTAGATCCATTCTCCTAACCCTAACCCTAGATACATTATCCTAACCCTAACCCTAACCCTAGATCCATTCTCCTAACCCTAGATCCATTCCAACCCTCTTTACCTTTAGCTCCTCGGAGGACGAAGCCAAATCCTTCACTGTCTCTCTTCTGTAGCACAGAACTCTTCTCCTCGATGACATAATCACTGGGGTCAGAGGGCAAGGATCAGTGATACAATAGAAGCAGACTTACAATACCTGTGTGTGTGTGCGTGTGCGTGTGTACACGAGTTACCTGTAGGAAGTGTAGTTGTCATAGGAACCCACGGTGTAATGTCTGAAAAGCCTCTTGGTGCGATCCTCTCGTGTTTCTACATACACCAGCCAACACACACGCACACAAATCACACACACTGCAGTCAAGAGACATGTCCTCATTCTCTGAAACATGTCCCCCTCCATTAGAGGGGGTAGGTGTGTTAGAGGACCTGCTATAGGCTAAGCAGAACACACATTATGCTGTGTGTGGGGGTTGGTTTTTCTGTCCCCACAAAGACAGTAAAACAAGGAACATTCTCCCTGGTGGGGATACTTCCCACGTCCTCATGAGGACAAAGGCTTAGGGGTTAGGTTTAGGATTAGGGATACAATTAGGGTCAGGGTTAGAATTAGGGTTAGGGTCAGGGTTAGAATTAGGGTTTGGAGTTAGGATTTTGAATGGAAATCAAAGTAGGATTTTGAAAATAAATCAATTTGAGGTCCTCACAAGAAGAGAACAAAAAGTGTGTGTGGGTTACCTAGGCGTGGGTCGTACTGTCTCATCTGGACCTCTTCAACACAGTCAGCAGGAAACCAGCCGGTCCGTCCTTTAACTGAGCCCTCCCAGAACCCTCCTTCTCCTATACTCAGCACTGTAACAATACAATATATTAATATAGGAATACAGTTGAAGTCGGAAGTTTACATACACCTTAGCCAAATACATTTAAACTCAGTTTTTCACAGTTCCTGACATTTAATCCTAGTAAAAATTCCCTGTCTTAGGTCAGTTAGGATCACCACTTTATTTTAAGAATGTGAAATGTCAGAATAATTATGAATTATTTCAGCTTTTATTTCTTTCATCACATTCCCAGTGGGTCAGAAGTTTACATACACTCAATCAGTATTTGGTAGCATTGCCTTTAAATTATTTAACTTGGGTCAAACGTTTCGGGTAGCCTTCCACAAGCTGAAGGCTACCCAAACCTTTAACTGAGTCAGGTTTGTAGGCCTCCTTGCTCGCACACGCGTTTTCAGTTCAGCCCACAGATTTTCTATAGGATTGAGGTCAGGGCTTTGTGATGGCCACTCCAATACGTTGACTTTGTTGACCATAAGCCATTTTGCCACAACTTTGAAAGTATGCTTGGGGTCATTGTCCATTTGGAAGACCCATTTGTGACCAAGCTTTAACTTCCTGACTGATGTCTTGAGATGTTGCTTCAATATATCCACATAATTTTCCTTCCTCATGATGCCATCTATTTTATGAAGTGCACCAGTCCAAAGCACAAAGCACTCCCACAGCATGATGCTGCCACCCCCGTGCTTCACGGTTGGGATGGTGTTCTTCGGCTTGCAAGCAGCCCCCTTTTTCCTCCAAACATAACGATGGTCATTATGGGCAAACTATTTTTGTTTCATCAGACCAGAGAATCTTGTTTCTCATGGTCTGAGTCCATTAGGTGCCTTTTGGCAAACTCCAAGCGGGCTGTCATGTGCCTTTTACTGAGGAGTGGCTTCCTTCTGGCCACTCTACCATAAAGGCCGGATTGGTGGAGTGCTGCAGAGATGGTTGTCCTTCTGGAAGGTTCTCCCATCTCCACAAAGGAACTGGAGGTCGGTTCTTGGTCACCCTGACAGAGCTCCAGAGTTCCTCTGTGGAGATGGGAGAACCTTCCAGGACAGCCATCTCCCCCAATTGCTCAGTTTGGCCGGACGGCCAGCTCTAGGAAGAGTCTTGGTGGTTCCAAACTTCTTCCATTTAAGAATGATGGAGGCCACTGTGTTCTTCGGGATCTTCAATGCTGCAGAAATGTTTTGGTACCCTTCCCCAGATCTGTGCCTGGACACAATCCTGTCTCGGAGCTATACGAACAATTCCTTCGACCTCATGGCTTGGTTTTTGCTCTGACATGTACTGTCAACTGTGGGACATTATATAGACAGGTGTGTGCATTTCCAAATCATGTCCAATCAGTTGAATTTACCACAGGTGGACTCCAATCAAGTTGTAGAAGCATCTCAAGGATGATCAATGGAACAGGATGCACATGAGCTCAATTTTGAGTCTCATAGTAAAGGGTCTGAATACTTATGTAAATAAGGTATTTCTGTTTTTAATTTTATATAAATGTGCAACATTTTCCAAAAACCTGTTTTTGCTTTGTAATTATGGGGCATTGTGTGTATATTGATGATTGAAAAAAATGATTTCATCCATTTTAGAATAAGGCTGTAACGTAAATAAATGTGTATAAAGTCAAAGGGTCTGAATACTTTCCAAATGCACCGTATATACAAAATACACAACACTATACTAACTCAGCATTGGAACAATACAACATATTAATATAGGAATATATACATAATACTATACTATACTAACTATAGCAAACCCCCCTTCTAGTATACTCAGCACTGTAACAATATAACATGTTAATATATTAATATAGGAATATATACATAATACTATACTATACTAACTATAGCAAACCCCCCTTCTCCTATAATCAGCACTGTAACAATATAACATGTTAATATAGGAATATATACATAATACACTGCTCAAAAAAATAAAGGGAACACTAAAATAACACATCCTAGATCTGAATGAATGAAATAATATTATTAAATACTTTTTTCTTTACATAGTTGAATGTGCTGACAACAAAATCACACAAAAATTATCAATGGAAATCAAATGTATCAACCCATGGAGGTCTGGATTTGGAGTCACCCTCAAAATTAAAATGGAAAACCACACTACAGGCTGATCCAACTTTTATGTAATGTCCTTAAAACAAGTCAAAATGAGGCTCAGTAGTGTGTGTGGCCTCCACGCGGATGGTCTCCTGAGGGATCTCCTCCCAGACCTGGACTAAAGCATCCGCCCACTCCTGGACAGTCTGTGGTGCAATGTGGCGTTGGTGGATGGAGCGAGACATGATGTCCCAGATGTGCTCAATTGGATTCAGGTCTGGGGAATGGGCGGGCCAGTCCATAGCATCAATGCCTTCCTCTTGCAGGAACTGCTGACACACTCCAGCCACATGAGGTCTAGCATTGTCTTGCATTAGGAGGAACCCAGAGCCAACCGCACCAGCATATGGTCTCACAAGGGGTCTGAGGATCTCATCTCGGTACCTAATGGCAGTCAGGCTACCTCTGGCGAGCACATGGAGGGCTGTGCGGCCCCCCAAAGAAATGTCACCCCACACCATGACTGACCCACCGCCAAACCGGTCATACTGGAGGATGTTGCAGGCAGCAGAACGTTCTCCGCGGCGTCTCCAGACTCTGTCACGTGTGCTCAGTGTGAACCTGCTTTCATCTGTGAAGAGCACAGGGCGCCAGTGGCGAATTTGCCAATCTTGGTGTTCTCTGGCAAATGCCAAACGTCCTGCACGGTGTTGGGCTGTAAGCACAACCCCCACCTGTGGACGTCGGGCCCTCATACCACCCTCATGGAGTCTGTTTCTGACCGTTTGAGCAGACACATGCACATTTGTGGCCTGCTGGAGGTCATTTTGCAGGGCTCTGGCAGTGCTCCTCCTGCTCCTCCTTGCACAAAGGCGGAGGTAGCAGTCCTGCTGCTGGGTTGTTGCCCTCCTACGGCCTCCTCCACGTCTCCTGATGTACTGGCCTGTCTCCTGGTAGCGCCTCCATGCTCTGGACACTACGCTGACAGACACAGCAAACCTTCTTGCCACAGCTCGCATTGATGTGCCATCCTGGATGAGCTGCACTACCTGAGCCACTTGTGTGGGTTGTAGACTCCGTCTCATGCTACCACTAGAGTGAAAGCACCGCCAGCATTCAAAAGTGACCTAAACATCAGCCAGGAAGCATAGGAACTGAGAAGTGGTCTGTGGTCACCACCTGCAAAACCAGTCCTTTATTGGGTGTGTCTTGCTAATTGCCTATAATTTCCACCTGTTGTCTATTCCATTTGCACAACAGCATGTGACATTTATTGTCAATCAGTGTTGCTTCCTAAGTGGACAGTTTGATTTCACAGAAGTGTGATTGACTTGGAGTTCCATTGTGTTGTTTAAGTGTTCCCTTTATTAGAGCAGTGTACTATACTGTACTAACTATAGCAAACCCCCCTTCTAGTATACTCAGCACTGGACAATATAACATGTTAATATATTAATATAGGAATGTTGGTTCCTCTAACCCTGTCTGCTGGTTCCTCTAACCCTGTCTGTTGGTTCCTCTAACCCTGTCTGTTGGTTCCTCTAACCCTGTCTGTTGGTTCCTCTAACCCTGTCTGTTGGTTCCCTGTCTGTTGGTTCCTCTAACCCTGTCTGTTGGTTCCTCTAACCCTGTCTGCTGGTTCCTCTAACCCTGTCTGTTGGTTCCTCTAACCCTGTCTGTTGGTTCCTCTAACCCTGTCTGCTGGTTCCTCTAACCCTGTCTGCTGGTTCCTCTAACCCTGTCTGTTGGTTCCTCTAACCCTGTCTGCTGGTTCCCTGTCTGTTGGTTCCTCTAACCCTGTCTGTTAGTTCCTCTAACCCTGTCTGTTGGTTCCCTGTCTGTTGGTTCCTCTAACCCTGTCTGTTGGTTCCTCTAACCCTGTCTGTTGGTTCCTCTAACCCTGTCGTTGGTTCCTCTAACCCTGTCTGTTGGTTCCTAACCCTGGCCCCTTTTGGGTTCCTCTAACCCTGTCGCTGGTTCCTTGTGGTTCCTCTAACCCTGTCTGTTGGTTCCTCTAACCCTGTCTGTTGGTTCCCTGTCTGTTGGTTCCTCTAACCCTGTCTGTTGGTTCCTCTAACCCTGTCTGGGGTTTCCCTGTCTGTTGGTCCTCTAACCCTGTCTTTTGGGTTCCTCTAACCCTGCCCTGTTGGTTCCTCTAACCCTGTCTGTTGGTTCCTCTAACCCTGTCTGTTGGTTCCTCTAACCCTGTCTTGGTTCCTCTAACCCTGTCTGTTGGTTCCTCTAACCCTGTCTGTTGGTTCCTCTAACCCTGTCTGTTGGTTCCTCTAACCCTGTCTGCTTGGTTCCTCTAACCCTGTCTGTTGGTTTCCCCTTGTCTGTTGGTTCCTCTAACCCTGTCTTTTTGGTTTCCTCTAACCCCTGTCTGCTGTTTCTAACCCTGTCTGTGGTTCCCTGTCTGTTGGTTCCTCTAACCCTGTCGGGTTGGTTCCTCTAACCCTGTCTGTTTTTCCTCTACCCTGTCTTTTGGGTTTTCCTCTAACCCTGTCTGCGGGTTTCCCCTCTAACCCTGTCTGTTGGTTCCCTGCTGTTGGTTCCTCTAACCCTGTCTTTTTGTTCCCTAACCTGTCTGTTTTCCTCTAACCCTGTCTGCGGGTTTTCCCTGTCTGCTGGTTCCTCTAACCCTTTTTTCTGTTGGTTCCTCTAACCCTGTCTGCGGGTTTCCCTGTCTGTTGGTTCCTCTAACCCTGTCTGTTGGTTCCTCTAACCCTGTCTGTTGGTTCCCTGCCCTGTTGGTTTCTCTAACCCTGTCTGTTGTTCCTCTAACCCTGTCTGTTGGGTTCCTCTAACCCTGTCGTTGGTTTCCTCTAACCCGTCTGCGGGTTTCCCCTGCTTTGGTCTCTAACCCTGTCTGTTGGTTCCTCTAACCCTGTCTGTTTTCCCCTGTCGTTGGTTCCTCTAACCCTGTCTGTTGGTTCCTCTAACCCTGTCTGTTGGTTCCCTGTCTGTTGGTTCCTCAAACCCCTGTCTGTTGGTTCCTCTAACCCTGTCTGTTGGTTCCTCTAACCCTGTCTGTTGGTTCCTCTAACCCCCTGTCTGTTGGTTCCTCTAACCCTGTCTGTTGGTTCCTCTAACCCTGTCTGTTGTTCCTCAACCCTGTCTGTTGGTTCCTCTAACCCTGTCTTTTGGTCCTCAAACCCTGTCTGCTGGTTCCTCTAACCCTGTCTTTGGGTTCCCTGTCTGTTGTTTCCTCTAACCCTGTCTGTTGGTTCCTCTAACCCTGTCTGTGGTTCCTCTAACCCTTTCTGTTGGTTCCCTGTCTGGTTGGTTCCTCAACCCTGTCTGTTGGTTTCCTCTAACCCTGTCTGTTGGTTCTCTAACCCGTCTGTTGGTTCCTCTAACCCTGTCTGTTGGTTCCTCTAACCCGTCTGTGGTTCCCTGTCGGTTGTTCCCTGGTCTGTTGGTTCCACTGTCTGTTGGTTCTCTAACCCTGTCTGTTGGTTCCTCTAACCCGGTCTGCTGGTCCCTGTCTGTTGGTTCCTCTAACCCTGTCTGTTGGTTCCTCTAACCCTGTCTGTTGGTTCCCTGTCTGTGGTTCCTCTAACCCTGTCTGTTGTTCTCTAACCCTGTCTGTTGGTTCCTCTAACCCTGTCTGTTGGTTCCTCTAACCCTGTCTGTTGGTTCCTCTAACCCTGTCTGTTGGTTCCTCTACCTGTCTGTTTGGGTCCCTGTTGTTGTTCCTCTAACCCTGTCTGTTGGTTCCTCTAACCCTGTCTGTTGGTTCCCCTAACCCTGTCTGTTGGTTCCTCTAACCCTGTCTGTTGGTTTCCTCGTTGGTTCCTCAACCCTGTCTGTTGGTTCCTCTAACCCTGTCTGCTGGTTCCTCTAACCTGTCTGTTGGTTCCTCTAACCCTGTCTGTTGGTTCCTCTAACCCTGCTGTTTGGTTTCTGTCTGTTTTCCTCTAACCCTGTCTGTTGGTTCCTCTAACCATGTCTGCTGGTTCCTCAAACCCCTGTCTGTTGGTTCCTCAAACCCCTGTCTGTGGTTCCTCAAACCCCTGTCTTTTTGGTCCTCTAACCCTGTCTTTTGTTTCCTCTAACCCTGTCTGTTTTCCTCTAACCCTGTCTTTTGGGTTCCTCAAACCTGTCTGTGGTTCCCTGGTTGGTTCCTCTAACCCTGTCTGTTGGTTTTCTCCTTTTTCCTAACCCTGTCTGTTGTCCTCTAACCCTGTCTGTTGGTTCCTCTAACCCTGTCTGTTGGTTCCCTGCCCTGTTGGTTCCCTGTCTGTTGGTTCCTCTAACCCTGTCTGTTTTTCCCCTGTCTGTTGGTTCCTCTAACCCTGTCTGTTGGTTCCTCTAACCCTGTCGGTTGGTTCCCTGTCTGTTGGTTCCTCTAACCCTGTATGTTGGTTCCCTGTCTGTTGGTTCCTCTAACCCTGGTCTGTTGGTTTCCTCTAACCCTGTCTGTTGGTTCCTCTAACCCTGTCTGTTGGTTCCTCTAACCCTGTCTGTTGGTTCCCTGTCTGTTGGTTCCTCTAACCCTGTCTGTTGGTTCCTCTAACCCTGTCTGTTGGTTCCTCTAACCCTGTCTGCTGGTTCCTCTAACCCTGTCTGTTGGTTCCTCTAACCCTGTCTGTTGGTTCCTCTAACCCTGTCTGCTAGTTCCTCTAACCCTGTCTGTTGGTTCCCTGTCTGTTGGTTCCTCTAACCCTGTCTGTTGGTTCCCCTAACCCTGTCTGTTGGTTCCTCTAACCCTGTCTGTTGGTTCCTCTAACCCTGTCTGTTGGTTCCCTGTCTGTTGGTTCCTCTAACCCTGTCTGTTGGTTCCTCTAACCCTGTCTGCTGGTTCCTCTAACCCTGTCTGTTGGTTCCTCTAACCCTGTCTGTTGGTTCCTCTAACCCTGTCTGTTGGTTCCTCTAACCCTGTCTGTTGGTTCCCCTAACCCTGTCTGTTGGTTCCCCTAACCCTGTCTGTTGGTTCCCCTAACCCTGTCTGTTGGTTCCTCTAACCCTGTCTGTGGTTCCTCTAACCCTGTCTGTTGGTTCCCTGTCTGTTGGTTCCTCTAACCCTGTCTGTTGGTTCCTCTAACCCTGTCTGTTGGTTCCTCTAACCCTGTCTGTTGGTTCCTCTAACCCTGTCTGTTGGTTCCTCTAACCCTGTCTGTTGGTTCCCTGTCTGTTGGTTCCTCTAACCCTGTCTGTTGGTTCCTCTAACCCTGTCTGTTGGTTCCTCTAACCCTGTCTGTTGGTTCCCTGTCTGTTGGTTCCTCTAACCCTGTCTGTTGGTTCCTCTAACCCTGTCTGTTGGTTCCTCTAACCCTGTCTGTTGGTTCCTCTAACCCTGTCTGTTGGTTCCTCTAACCCTGTCTGTTGGTTCCTCTAACCCTGTCTGCTGGTTCCTCTAACCCTGTCTGTTGGTTCCTCTAACCCTGTCTGTTGGTTCCTCTAACCCTGTCTGTTGGTTCCCTGTCTGCTGGTTCCTCTAACCCTGTCTGTTGGTTCCTCTAACCCTGTCTGCTGGTTCCTCTAACCCTGTCTGTTGGTTCCCTGTCTGTTGGTTCCCTGTCTGTTGGTTCCTCTAACCCTGTCTGTTGGTTCCTCTAACCCTGTCTGCTGGTTCCTCTAACAGTTGATTGGACAGTGAGGAGGAGACAGCAGATTGGACAGGGAATTGGGACAGCTGATTGGCCAGTGAGGGAAGACAGCTGATTGGAGAGAGAGGAGGAGTGTCTGACCTTTGACTCTCTCCCCACGATGCAGGCTAATCTCTCCGGGACCCTGCGGTGTGTGAGAGCGTGTAGCGATGAACGTTCTCCCCGGCACGGCGCTGTACAGCCTACGTTTCCCACGCTGCACTGGGCTGGGGGGAGATGGGGGCGGACTGGGGTCCCTCTGTAGCCTGCCACTGGGGCTATACACACACACACACACACCACATAGGCATGCACACATGCAAACACAGACATACACACACAAACAAGCACACAGGCAGGTGAGTCTGTCTGTCTGTCTGTCTGTCTGTCTGTCTGTCTGTCTGTCTGTCTGTACCTGAGGCGCCGTGTCTGTCTGCAAAGGCTGTGTGTGTCTGTCTGTGGGTGTGTCTATCTGTCTGTCTGTGTCTGTCTGTCTGTCTGTCTGTCTGTGGGTGTGTCTATCTGTCTGTCTGTGTCTGTCTGTCTGTCTTTGGGTGTGTCTATCTGTCTGTCTGTGTCTGTCTGTCTGTCTGTGTCTGTCTGTCTGTCTGTCTGTACCTGAGGCGCCGTGTCTGTCTGCGAAGGCTGTGTGTGTCTGTCCGTCTGTCCGTCTGCCGGTTGGAAGTTTGCGTGTTCTCCAGGCTGTGGAGGGATGGGCCAGGGGAAGAAGAGGCGGGGCTTTCAAGAGCGTTGTCGCTGGCTGAGCGAATCAGATAACGGGGAGATGACAAGCCACACCCACCAACATTACTGGCCCCACCCAGACGTCGGCGCTTTGAGGAATAGGAAGGGCTCTCTCTGAAAGGCACTGAGACACAGAGCAACAAGGTTACACACATCGACATGGTCAAACACACACAGACACTAACACACAGGGTCGTGGATGGACTCACCTACGTCTGAGGCCTTATGGATCTTAATGATCTCTGCCAGGTCAAAATTCCCAGCAATGATGGCCACCTACACACACACACACACTTTACATGTCTATTTGGAACCACAGTGAAGCATTGTCAGAAAAAAGCATTCAAACTATACCACGTCACACTGCATTCTGTGTTGTAGTTCATTACCTGAAAAGCTGTCTGGTTGTTGTAGTTCTTAATGTCTTTATTCGCTCCTCTGAACAGCAGAACTCTGGCACAGCCGTCCTGAGAAAGGAAACATCACAGTCAGTCACACATAGCAACCCTGCTTACCTGGTTGTATAGAACACAGGTGTAGTGTTACCTGGTTGTATAGAACACACAGGTGTAGTGTTACCTGGTTGTATAGACCACAGGTGTAGTGTTACCTGGTTGTATAGACCACAGGTGTAGTGTTACCTGGTTGTATAGAACACAGGTGTAGTGTTACCTGGTTGTATAGAACACACAGGTGTAGTGTTACCTGGTTGTATAGACCACACAGGTGTAGTGTTACCTGGTTGTATAGAACACAGGTGTAGTGTTACCTGGTTGTATAGACCACACAGGTGTAGTGTTACCTGGTTGTATAGACCACAGGTGTAGTGTTACCTGGTTGTATAGACCACAGGTGTAGTGTTACCTGGTTGTATAGAACACACAGGTGTAGTGTTACCTGGTTGTATAGAACACACAGGTGTAGTGTTACCTGGTTGTATAGACCACAGGTGTAGTGTTACCTGGTTGTATAGACCACAGGTGTAGTGTTACCTGGTTGTATAGACCACAGGTGTAGTGTTACCTGGTTGTATAGACCACAGGTGTAGTGTTACCTGGTTGTATAGAACACACAGGTGTAGTGTTACCTGGTTGTATAGAACACACAGGTGTAGTGTTACCTGGTTGTATAGACCACAGGTGTATTGTTACCTGGTTGTATAGAACACAGGTGTAGTGTTACCTGGTTGTATAGAACACAGGTGTAGTGTTACCTGGTTGTATAGAACACACAGGTGTAGTGTTACCTGGTTGTATAGACCACACAGGTGTAGTGTTACCTGGTTGTATAGAACACAGGTGTAGTGTTACCTGGTTGTATAGACCACACAGGTGTAGTGTTACCTGGTTGTATAGACCACAGGTGTAGTGTTACCTGGTTGTATAGACCACAGGTGTAGTGTTACCTAGTTGTATAGAACACACAGGTGTAGTGTTACCTGGTTGTATAGAACACACAGGTGTAGTGTTACCTGGTTGTATAGACCACAGGTGTAGTGTTACCTGGTTGTATAGAACACAGGTGTAGTGTTACCTGGTTGTATAGACCACAGGTGTAGTGTTACCTGGTTGTATAGACCACAGGTGTAGTGTTACCTGGTTGTATAGAACACACAGGTGTAGTGTTACCTGGTTGTATAGAACACACAGGTGTAGTGTTACCTGGTTGTATAGACCACAGGTGTATTGTTACCTGGTTGTATAGAACACAGGTGTAGTGTTACCTGGTTGTATAGACCACAGGTGTAGTGTTACCTGGTTGTATAGACCACAGGTGTAGTGTTACCTGGTTGTATAGAACACACAGGTATAGTGTTACCTGGTTGTATAGAACACACAGGTGTAGTGTTACCTGGTTGTATAGACCACACAGGTGTAGTGTTACCTGGTTGTATAGAACACACAGGTGTAGTGTTACCTGGTTGTATAGACCACAGGTGTAGTGTTACCTGGTTGTATAGACCACAGGTGTAGTGTTACCTGGTTGTATAGACCACAGGTGTAGTGTTACCTGGTTGTATAGAACACAGGTGTAGTGTTACCTGGTTGTATAGAACACACAGGTGTAGTGTTACCTGGTTGTATAGAACACACAGGTGTAGTGTTACCTGGTTGTATAGAACACACAGGTGTAGTGTTACCTGGTTGTATAGACCACAGGTGTAGTGTTACCTGGTTGTATAGACCACACAGGTGTAGTGTTACCTGGTTGTATAGAACACACAGGTGTAGTGTTACCTGGTTGTATAGACCACAGGTGTAGTGTTACCTGGTTGTATAGACCACAGGTGTAGTGTTACCTGGTTGTATAGACCACACAGGTGTAGTGTTACCTGGTTGTATAGAACACACAGGTGTAGTGTTACCTGGTTGTATAGACCACACAGGTGTAGTGTTACCTGGTTGTATAGACCACACAGGTGTAGTGTTACCTGGTTGTATAGACCACAGGTGTAGTGTTACCTGGTTGTATAGACCACAGGTGTAGTGTTACCTGGTTGTATAGACACACAGGTGTAGTGTTACCTGGTTGTATAGAACACACAGGTGTAGTGTTACCTGGTTGTATAGAACACACAGGTGTAGTGTTACCTGGTTGTATAGAACACACAGGTGTAGTGTTACCTGGTTGTATAGACCACAGGTGTAGTGTTACCTGGTTGTATAGAACACACAGGTGTAGTGTTACCTGGTTGTATAGAACACAGGTGTAGTGTTACCTGGTTGTATAGAACACACAGGTGTAGTGTTACCTGGTTGTATAGAACACAGGTGTAGTGTTACCTGGTTGTATAGAACACAGGTGTAGTGTTACCTGGTTGTATAGAACACACAGGTGTAGTGTTACCTGGTTGTATAGAACACACAGGTGTAGTGTTACCTGGTTGTATAGACACACAGGTTTATTGTTACCTGGTTGTATAGACCACAGGTGTAGTGTTACCTGGTTGTATAGAACACAGGTTGTAGTGTTACCTGGTTGTATAGACACACAGGTGTAGTGTTACCTGGTTGTATAGAACCCACAGGTGTAGTGTTACCTGGTTGTATAGAACACACAGGTGTAGTGTTACCTGGTTGTATAGACCACAGGTGTAGTGTTACCTGGTTGTATAGAACACACAGGTGTAGTGTTACCTGGTTGTATAGACCACAGGTGTAGTGTTACCTGGTTATATAGACCACAGGTGTAGTGTTACCTGGTTGTATAGACCACAGGTGTAGTGTTACCTGGTTGTATAGACCACAGGTGTAGTGTTACCTGGTTGTATAGACCACAGGTGTAGTGTTACCTGGTTGTATAGAACACACAGGTGTAGTGTTACCTGGTTGTATAGACCACAGGTGTAGTGTTACCTGGTTGTATAGACCACACAGGTGTAGTGTTACCTGGTTGTATAGACCACAGGTGTAGTGTTACCTGGTTGTATAGAACACAGGTGTAGTGTTACCTGGTTGTATAGAACACAGGTGTAGTGTTACCTGGTTGTATAGACCACACAGGTGTAGTGTTACCTGGTTGTATAGACCACAGGTGTAGTGTTTACCTGGTTGTATAGACCACCAGGTGTAGTGTTACCTGGTTGTATAGACCACAGGTGTAGTGTTACCTGGTTGTATAGACCACAGGTGTAGTGTTACTGGTTGTATAGACCACCAGGTGTAGTGTTACCTGGTTGTATAGAACCACAGGTGTAGTGTTACCTGGTTGTATGACCACAGGTGTAGTGTTACCTGGTTGTATAGACCACACAGGTGTAGTGTTACCTGGTTGTATAGACCACAGGTGTAGTGTTACCTGGTGTATAGACCACAGGTGTAGTGTTTACCTGGTTGTATAGAACACACAGGTGTAGTGTTACCTGGTTGTATAGAACACACAGGTGTAGTGTTACCTGGTTGTATAGACCACAGGTGTAGTGTTACCTGGTTGTATAGACCACAGGTGTAGTGTTACCTGGTTGTATAGAACACACAGGTTGTAGTGTTACCTGGTTGTATAGAACACACAGGTGTAGTGTTACCTGGTTGTATAGACCACAGGTGTAGTGTTACCTGGTTGTATAGACCACAGGTGTAGTGTTACCTGGTTGTATAGAACACACAGGTGTAGTGTTACCTGGTTGTATAGAACACACAGGTGTAGTGTTACCTGGTTGTATAGAACACACAGGTGTAGTGTTACCTGGTTGTATAGAACACAGGTGTAGTGTTACCTGGTTGTAATAGAACACACAGGTGTAGTGTTACCTGGTTTGTATAGAACACACAGGTGTAGTGTTACCTGGTTGTATAGAACCACAGGTGTAGTGTTACCTGGTTGTATAGACACACAGGTGTAGTGTTACCTGGTTGTATAGAACACACAGGTGTAGTGTTACCTGGTTGTATAGAACCACAGGTGTAGTGTTACCTGGTTGTATAGAACCACAGGTGTAGTGTTACCTGGTTGTATAGAACACACAGGTGTAGTGTTTACCTGGTTGTATAGAACACACAGGTGTAGTGTTACCTGGTTGTATAGAACACAGGTGTAGTGTTACCTGGTTGTATAGAACAAAACAGGTGTAGTGTTACCTGGTTGTATAGACCACAGGTGTAGTGTTACCTGGTTGTATAGAACCACAGGTGTAGTGTTTACCTGGTTGTATAGACCACAGGTGTAGTGTTACCTGGTTGTATAGACCACAGGTGTAGTGTCCCCGGTTGTATAGACCACAGGTGTATGTTACCTGGTTGTATAGACCACAGGTGTAGTGTTACCTGGTTGTATAGACCACAGGTGTAGTGTTACCTGGTTGTATAAACACACAGGGGTAGTGTTACCTGGTTGTATAGAACACACAGGTGTAGTGTTACCTGGTTGTATAGAAACAACAGGTGTAGTTTTTACCTGGTTGTATAGAACACAGGTGTATGTTTACCTGGTTGTATAACCACAGGTGTAGTGTTACCTGGTTGTATAGAACACACAGGTGTAGTGTTTCCTGGTTGTATAGAACAACAGGTGTAGTGTTTTAAACCCGGTTGTATAAGAACACACGGTTTTAGTTTGTATAGAACACACAGGTGTAGTGTTACCTGGTTGTATAGACCACACAGGTGCAGGGCAGTGTTTCCTGAGGCATTCTGGGAGCTCATGTCGGCTCCGTAAAACAGCAGATGTTCCAGGTGCTGTACGTTCCCATGACGACATGCCTGGAAAGAAACAACACGTCACATGCATGTTACCATGACGAAACACCTGGAGAGAAATAACACGTCACATAAATGTTACCATGACAACACGTCTAGAGAGAAACAACACGTCACATAGATGTTCCTATTTTCCCTTTTTTTTTGTAGACAACAGGTTGAGAAAGCCTATTGATTAAATTGATACTTCTGGAATTTGGCAATGAGGTCTTTTACGTAATTCCCCAGAGTCAGATGAACTTACCATTTTTATGTCTCTGCGTGAGGTTTGTAATATGTCACTTTTTGGGTGACCCGACCAAATTCATATAGAAATATGAGTTATAGATCTGTCATTAATTTACTTTCGGTTTGTACACCAGCTTCAAACAGGTGAAAATACAATATTTTTGAAGGGATATTTCACTGCAATTTAGATAGTACATTGATTCTCTACACCAGTGGTCACCAACAGGTTAATCGCGATCGACTGGTCGATCTCCAAGGCATTCCTAGTTTTATTTTTGTTTTTTCTTGCACTGTTGGCGGTAGGTTCACTTGATTCAGCAGCCCTAGCGTCGGTAAGGCAAAGTGGCCAATCAGATAGCTCAGATTTCCTCGAGCCATTGACTGTAAAAAGAAGCCTTAAGCGCATGGCAAAGATGATACTGTGAGATTTAAAAAGAGAGAGACTCAACGAATCCAGCAAAGAGCTGCTGTTTTTATGTGGAAGTTCATATTTAAGTTGTTATCCAGCCCTGTCAACACTTTGTTCAACACCTTTATAAGCCATAAAATGCGCATTCTCCCAACTTCCACACGCTAAAACCAGCACTGCAGCTGCAATGACTGAGTATAGCAAAGTGGTCCGATAAGTTTGTGTTGTTATTAGAGGCTTTTGTCTTTTTTCTACCCCCATTTCATGATATTACGATCTTGTCTCATCGCTGCAACTCCCCAACGGGCTCGGGAGAGGCGAAGGTCGAGTCATGCGTCCTCCGAAACATGACCCGTTAACACCCGCCCGCTTAACCTGGAAGCCAGCCACACCAATGTGTCGGAGGAAACACCATCCAACTGACAACCGGAGTCAGCCTGCAGGCGCCCAACCCGCCACAAGGAGTCGCTAGAGCACGATGAGCCACTATAGCCTCTGGTTTGGGGTCGGGATTGATTAGGGAGTTCACAGCGCCACTTAAGATGAAGACGCAGAAGGGCCATGAGGAGATTATTCAGTTGTATTTGATTGACTCTCCTGCATTTCCTGTGGTGTTGGGTCTTCCCTGGTTAACATCTCATGACCCCAACATTTCATGGCAACAGAGGGCTCTCAAGGGATGGTCTGATCAGTGTGTCGGGCGGTGTATAGGTGTTTCCGTAGGGGCGACAACGGTGGAAAGTCCGAACCAAATGCCCGCACTGCACATTCCTCCTGAGTATACAGATTTGGCACTCGCCTTCAGTAAGAAGAGGGCGACTCAATTACCACCTCATAGACAGGGGGATTGTGCGATAGACCTCCAGGCAGGCGCTGCGCTCCCTCGTAGCCATGTGTATTCTCTGTCTCAGGAGGAGACGGCCGCTATGGAGACATACATCGCCGAATCCTTGAGACAGGGATACATACGGCCGTCCACTTCCCCTGCGTCCTCGAGTTTCTTTTTTGTGAAGAAGAAGGATGGGGGTTTACGCCCGTGTATTGATTACCGTGGTCTCAATCAGATCACTATTAAATACAGCTATCCTCTCCCTCTGATTGCTAGTATGACGGAGTCATTACACGGGGCGCGCTTCTTCACAAAATTGGATCTCAGGAGCGCTTACAACCTGGTGCGCATTCGGGAAGGAGATGAGTGGAAGACAGCATTCAGTACCACCTCGGGTCACTATGAGTACCTCGTCATGCCATACGGTCTAATGAATGCTCCTTCAGTCTTCCAATCATTTGTGGACGAGATTTTCCGGGATTTGCATGGACGGGGGGTAGTGGTGTATATTGATGACATCCTGATATACTCCGCTACACGTACCGAGCATGTGTCCCTGGTACGTCGGGTGCTGGGTAGACTGTTGGAGCATTACCTGTATGTGAAGGCAGAGAAATGTCTGTTTTTCCAGGAGTCCATCTCCTTCCTGGGACACCGGTTGTCTGCGTCAGGGGTGGAGATGGAGGTTGACCGCATTTCAGCCGTGCGTAATTGGCAGACTCCCACTACGGTAAAGGAGGTGCAGCGTTTTTTGGGTTTTGCCAATTACTACCGGAGGTTTATCCGGGGTTTTGGACAGGTAGCAGCTCCCATTACCTCCCTGCTAAAGGGGGGCCCGGTGCGTTTGCAGTGGTCGGCTGAGGCGGACAGGGCGTTTAGTCATTTGAAGGATTTGTTCACCTCGGCTCCGGTGCTGGCACATCCGGATCCCTCTTTGGCGTTCCAAGTGGAGGTGGATGCGTCCGAGGCGGGGATCGGTGCTATACTGTCTCAGCGCTCGGGCACGCCTCCAAAACTCCGCCCCTGTGCTTTCTATTCCAAGAAGCTCAGTCCGGCGGAACGCAATTATGACGTGGGGGACAGGGAGCTGCTAGCGGTGGTCCACGCCCTGAAGGTGTGGAGACATTGGCTTGAGGGGGCTAACCACCCTTTTCTCATTCTGACTGACCATCGTGACCTGGAGTACATCCGGGCAGCGAGGAGACTGAACCCTCGTCAGGCTAGGTGGGCCATGTTTCTTGCCCGGTTTGTATTTAAGATCACTTATATCCCAGGGTCACAGAACGCTAAGGCAGACGCCCTGTCCCGACTATATGACACAGAGGAGAGGTCCATTGAGCCCACTCCCATACTACCGGAGTCTTGTCTAGTGGCACCGGTGGTGTGGGAGGTCGACACGGAAATCGAGCGGGCGTTACGTACCGACCCTACTCCCCCAGAGTGTCCAGAAGGACGGAGGTACGTGCCGCTCGAGGTCCGTGACCGACTGATTTATTGGGCTCACACGTCACCCTCCTCTGGTCATCCGGGTATTGGTCGGACGGTGCACTGTCTTAGTGGGAAGTACTGGTGGCCCACCTTAGCCAGGGACGTGAGGGTTTACGTTTCTTCCTGCTCGGTGTGCGCCCAGTGTAAGGCACCTAGACACCTGCCCAGAGGGAAGTTACAACCCCTACCCGTTCCACAACGGCCGTGGTCTCACCTGTCGGTGGATTTTGTCACGGACCTTCCCCCCTCCCAGGGGAATACCACGATCTTGGTCGTTGTGGATCGGTTTTCTAAGGCCTGCCGTCTCATCCCTATGCCAGGTCTTCCTACAGCCCTACAAACAGCCGAGGCCCTGTTTACTCACGTTTTCCGGCACTACGGGGTGCCTGAGGACATAGTGTCTGATCGGGGTCCCCAGTTCACCTCTAGAGTTTGGAGGGCGTTTATGGAACGTTTGGGGGTCTCGATCAGCCTTACCTCTGGTTTTCACCCCGAGAGTAATGGGCAGGTGGAGAGAGTAAACCAGGATGTGGGTAGGTTTCTGAGGTCCTATTGCCAGGACCAGCAGGAGGAGTGGTCGGGGTATATTCCCTGGGCAGAGATAGCCCAAAACTCACTCCGCCACTCCTCCACTAATCAGTGTGTGTTGGGCTATCAGCCGGTTCTGGCACCCTGGCATCAGAGCCAGATCAAGGCCCCTGCGGTGGATGAACGGTTTCGGCGCTCGGAGGAGACATGGAACGCTGCGCATGTCCATCTGCAGCGGACCATCAGACGGCAAAAGGCGAGCGCCGATCGCCACCACAGTGAGGGTCCGGTTTATGCACCGGGAGATCGGGTCTGGCTCTCGACCCGAAACCTGCCCCTTCACCTGCCCTGCCGGAAGCTGGGTCAGCGGTTTGTGGGGCCATTTAAAGTCCTGAGGAGATTGAACGAGGTATGTTATAGGTTAAAACTGCCTATTAATTATCGCATTAACCCCTCGTTCCATGTGTCTCTCCTCAGGCCAGTGGTAGCTGGTCCACTCCAGGAGAATGAGATACGAGAGGCCCCTCCGCCCCCACTAGACATCGAAGGGGCTCCGGCGTACTCAGTCCGTTCCATCGTGGATTCGAGGCGTCGGATGGGGGGTCTGCAGTATCTCGTGGAATGGAAGGGGTACGGTCCGGAGGAACGGTGCTGGGTCCCTAGGAGGGACATCCTAGATCCCTCCCTGTTGACAGAGTTCCACCGGAGTCATCCTACTCGCCCTGCTCCGCGTCCTCCTGGCCGTCCCCGAGGCCGGGGTCGGCGCACGGCTGGAGCCGCGCGTCAAGGGGGGGGTACTGTCACGGATTCTGCCGAGGCTGCTCCTCCTCCTTGCTCGGGCAGGCTTCGGTGTTCGTCGTCCCCGGAGTACTAGCTACTGCCGATCGATATTATCGGTGTCTGTCTAGTCTTGTCTGTATTGTTTACACCTGTTCATCATTATGTTTGATTGTTGCCCTAGAATTACCCCTGTCTCTCATCGTTATCTTGTGTGTGATTGTTTCCCTTCACGTATGTCGTTTGTGAGCGGGTTATTTCCTCCCTGTGTGGAGTTATTCTGTGTTCATCTTTTCAATATGGGATTAAAGTACGTTTCCGAGAGTTCCGTGTCCTGCGCCTGACTTCTTCAACCGCATCTCACTGACAGCCGTGACATGAGGTTTGTGCAGTAGGCTATAGGCCCAGTACATTATCACTGGATATTGCCTACGCTTGAATTGACCTGCCAATGTTGTTCTTCTCAGACCATTTAGACATTGGTAATAGATCATTTGTTGTATTACTTGTAAGGCACAGCTAAGTGAGCAGCGGTGAGGCTGACTGATGGCCTGCATCTGATGGTCAGTCTGAGGGGAGAGAGGGAGCAGCGGTGAGGCTGCCTGATGGCCTGATGGTCAGTCTGAGGGGAGAGAGGGAGCAGCGGTGAGGCTGACTGATGGCCTGATGGTCAGTCTGAGGGGAGAGAGGGAGCAGCGGTGAGGCTGACTGATGGCCTGCATCTGATGGTCAGTCTGAGGGGAGAGAGGGAGCAGCGGTGAGGCTGCCTGATGGCCTGATGGTCAGTCTGAGGGGAGAGAGGGAGCAGCGGTGAGGCTGCCTGCATCTGATGGTCAGTCTGAGGGGAGGGAGGGAGCAGCGGTGAGGCTGCCTGATGGACTGATGGTCAGTCTGAGGGGAGGGAGGGAGCAGCGCTGAGGCTGACTGATGGCCTGCATCTGATGGTCAGTCTGAGGGGAGAGAGGGAGCAGCGGTGAGGCTGCCTGATGGACTGATGGTCAGTCTGAGGGGAGGGAGGGAGCAGCGCTGAGGCTGACTGATGGCCTGCATCTGATGGTCAGTCTGAGGGGAGGGAGGGAGCAGCGGTGAGGCTGCCTGATGGACTGATGGTCAGTCTGAGGGGAGGGAGGGAGCAGCGCTGAGGCTGACTGATGGCCTGCATCTGATGGTCAGTCTGAGAGGAGAGAGGGAGCAGCGGTGAGGCTGCCTGATGGCCTGATGGTCAGTCTGAGGGGAGAGAGGGAGCAGCGGTGAGGCTGACTGATGGCCTGATGGTCAGTCTGAGGGGAGGGAGGGAGCAGCGGTGAGGCTGACTGATGACCTGATGGTCAGTCTGAGGGGAGGGAGGGAGCAGCGCTGAGGCTGACTGATGGCCTGATGGTCAGTCTGAGGGGAGGGAGGGAGCAGCGGTGAGGCTGACTGATGGCCTGCATCTGATGGTCAGTCTGAGGGGAGAGAGGGAGCAGCGCTGAGGCTGCCTCTCACCCGACTCATCGTCCCTCTGCCATCCTTCCCTCCGCTGAGAAAAGGGGACACAGTCTTCCAGTTGATGGCAAAACTCAAGTCGCACTGCATTATTTCTGCCTCATGCACTAATTCATGTTGTTACTCCTATGAGCAGAGAAAGTGAAATATTCCTTCATTAAAAAAGACAAAAGCCTCTAATAACAACACAAGCTGCCAATGACTGGAACCAATTGCAAAAATCTCTGAAGTTGGAGACTCTTATCTCCCTCACTAACTTTAAGCATCAGTTGTCAGAGCAGCTTACCGATCACTGCACCTGTACACAGCCCATCTGAAATTAGCCCACCCAACTACCTCATCCCCATATTGTTATTTATTTTGCTCATTTGCACCCCAGTATCTCTATTTGCACATCATCTTTTGCACATCTATCATTCCAGTGTTAATACTAATTGTAATTATTTTGCACTATGGCCTATTTATTGCCTTACCTCCATAACTTACTACATTCGCACACACTGTATATATATTTTCTGTTGTATTTTTTGACTTTATGTTTTGTTTTACCCCATATGTAACTCTGTGTTGTTGTTTTTATCGCACTGCTTTGCTTTATCTTGGCCAGGTCGCAGTTGTAAATGAGAACGTGTTCTCAACTGGCTTACCTGGTTAAATAAAAAATAAATAAAATAAAAAAGCTTATCGGACCACTTTGCTATACTCAGTCATTGCAGCTGCAGTGCTGGTTTTAGCGTGTGGAAGTTGGGAGAATGCGCATTTTATGGCTTATAAAGGTGTTGAACAAAGTGTTGACAGTGCTGTATAACAACTTAAATATGAACTTCCACATAAAAACAGCAGCTCTTTGCTGGATTCGTTGAGTCTCTCTAGTCATGGTTTTACATGTTTTTAATTCTGACAGTATCATCTTTGCTGTGCGCTCGAGACTTCTTTTTACAGTCTATGACTCGAGGAAACTGTGCAGACACGGTGATCTGAGCTATCTGATTGGCCAGCGGTAGACCTATAGGTGCACTTGATTTGCTCTCTGGGCCTGCCAGGTAGGCGGAGTTCTACCTTCAGACATGAAATGATTCAAGATGGGAACACTTTGCCTTCCCGGTGCTATGGCTGCTGAATCAAGTGCACCTACTGCGAACAGCAAGAAACAAAAAAATCAACCAATAGGAATGCAAGGCTTTGGTGATCGACTAGGAATGCCTTGGAGATCAACCAGTCGATCACGATCAATCGGTTGGTGACCACTGGTCTACGGAGATCAACCAGTCGATCACGATCAATCGGTTGGTGACCACTGGTCTACGGAGATCAACCAGTCAATCACGATCAATCGGTTGGTGACCACTGGTCTACGGAGATCAACCAGTCGATCACGATCAATCGGTTGGTGACCACTGGTCTACGGAGATCAACCAGTCGATCACGATCAATCGGTTGGTGACCACTGGTCTACGGAGATCAACCAGTCGATCACGATCAATCGGTTGGTGACCACTGGTCTACGGAGATCAACCAGTCGATCACGATCAATCGGTTGGTGACCACTGGTCTACGGAGATCAACCAGTCGATCACGATCAATCGGTTGGTGACCACTGGTCTACGGAGATCAACCAGTCGATCACGATCAATCGGTTGGTGACCACTGGTCTACGGAGATCAACCAGTCGATCACGATCAATCGGTTGGTGACCACTGGTCTACGGAGATCAACCAGTCGATCACGATCAATCGGGTTGGTGACCACGGGTCTATGTCATCTTGCTGAGTCTACCTTTAAACCATAATCTAACCTCTGACCTCTGAACTGACCCATCACCTTCTGCATTACTGCCCCACAGTGGCAAGAAGTGACATCCCCAAAACACCAAAACTATTCCACACATAAATGGCTCCTAGCCTCCCACACAAAACCCATTGGAGGAGAAAGTGAGAGGGGAGAGACCTCTGGCTTCTCATCCAATGGGTTTTGAGAAGGAGCTGAGGAGAGAGGACGCGAGGAGTTGAGATCTTCCCATAGGCTACTTTCTGTCCCGAACCTTACACTAAAACTAAATAGAAATGATACAACTCAAACTAATTACAAACTAGTCAAGTGGATTTGAAAACGAACTGAAACTAAACTTCAAATCAAAATATGAACTAATAGAAATAACAACAGAACTATAATAACCTTGGTGTGTGTGTTACCTGGTGTATCTCCTGCCAGCCATTCTCGTCGGTGCTGCCTATGACAGCGTGTTCATGTAGCAGCAGTTCACAGCAGTACGGGTCTCCCCCCACCATGGCACAGTGGTACAAAGGAGTTAACCCACGACTGTCCCTATAGTCTGGAGATGCACCCAGGGCCAACACAGTCTGCAACACACACATTACGCTTAAAACAAAAACACACAGGGGTGTGTATGCATGTGTGTGTGCGTACTCACTGTGAGTGCTGTGTGGCGTACTCACTGTGAGTGCTGTGTGGTTCCTAGAGAGAACAGCTCTGTGCAGCGCTGTGATTCCGTCTCTAGTCCTGAAGTCCAGGTGAGCTCCTCCACTCCTCAGAATTTTAATCAGTTCTGCACTGCCCTCTAGCTGTACCGCCAGGGTTAGGGGGCATTCTATACACACACACACACACACACACACACACACACACACACACACACACACACACACACACACACACACACACACACACACACACACACACACACACACACACACACACACACACACACACACACACACACACACACACACTTTCAGCTATAAAAACACTGAGGCTTAGTGATGAGTGATGGACATAATTCAGTGTGTGATTCTGTGTGTGTGTGTGTTTCCTCACCTCCTGTGTCAGCATCATGAAAATTAGGATCAAGGCCTTTCTCCAAGAACCTGGAGACTTTGTCAACGTTGCGCTGGTAGACATACTCCATAAACTTCTTTAGGTTGGCCTGAGAAACAGATACATACTCCATCAACTTCTAAAGGTTGGCTTGAGAGACAGAGAAAGGAGAGGGAGAGCGAGAGTAGGGCTGGCACGTGTGTGTATGGTCTTACCTTGGTATGGAGCTTTGCTAGCTGCTTGTCGTCCACATAGCTCTGAGTGTAAACACGCCTCTTATAGCGAAACTACAATGACTCACACACACACACACACACACACACACACACACACACACACACACACACACACACACACACACACACACACACACACACACACACACACACACACAAACAAACACACACAAACAGCCACACACACACACACACACACAAACAGCCACACACAAACAAACACAAACAGCCACACACAAACACAAACAACCCAATTAGTGATTTTTTTTAACAGTTTCAACATTTATAGTTTTTGGTTTGGTGTGTGTAGGTTGTAGGGTGTATGTATGGTATAGGGCGTAGTGTGTAGGGTGTAGGGTGTAGGGTGTATGTATGGTATAGGGTGTAGTGTGTAGGTTGTAGGGTGTATGTATGGTATAGGGCGTAGTGTGTAGGGTGTAGGGTGTAGGGTGTATGTATGGTATAGGGTGTAGTGTGTAGGTTGTAGGGTGTAGGGTGTATGTATGGTATAGGGCGTAGTGTGTAGGGTGTAGGGTGTATGTATGGTATAGAGTATAGTGTGTAGGTTGTAGGGTGTATGTATGGTATAGGGTATAGTGTGTAGGTTGTAGGGTGTATGTATGGTATAGGGTGTAGTGTGTAGGTTGTAGGGTGTATGTATGGTATAGGGTGTAGTGTGTAGGTTGTAGGGTGTATGTATGTTATAGGTCGTAGTGTGTAGGTGTAGGGTGTATGTATGGTATAGAGCATAGTGTGTAGGGTGTAGGGTGTAGGGTGTATGTATGGTATAGGGTGTAGTGTGTAGGGTGTAGGGTGTATGTATGGTATAGGGTGTAGTGTGTAGGGTGTAGGGTGTTTGTATGGTATAGGGCGTAGTGTGTAGGTTGTAGGGTGTATGTATGGTATAGGGTGTAGTGTGTAGGTTGTAGGGTGTATGCATGGTATAGGGTGTAGGTTGTAGGGTGTACGTATGGTGTGTTGGGGTAGAGGGTACCTCTAGGTAGGGAATAGGAGTGATGGGGGGTAGAGGGTACCTCTAGGTAGGGAATAGGAGTGATGGGGGTAGAGGGTACCTCTAGGTAGGAAAGGAGTGATGGGGGGTAGAGGGTACCTCTAGGTAGGGAATAGGAGTGATGGGGGGGTAGAGGGTACCTCTAGGTAGGGAATAGGAGTGATGGGGGGTAGAGGGTACCTCTAGGTAGGGAATAGGAGTGATGGGGGGGGTAGAGGGTACCTCTAGGTAGGAATAGGAGTGATGGGGGTAGAGGGTACCTCTAGGTAGGGAATAGGAGTGATGGGGGTAGAGGGTACCTCTAGGTAGGGAATAGGAGTGATGGGGGGTAGAGGGTACCTCTAGGTAGGGAATAGGAGTGATGGGGGGTAGAGGGTACCTCTAGGTAGGGAATAGGAGTGATGGGGGGGGGTAGAGGGTAACCTCTAGGTAGGGAATAGGAGTGATGGGGGTAGAGGGTACCTCTAGGTAGGGAATAGGAGTGATGGGGGGTAGAAGGTACCTCTAGGTAGGGAATAGGAGTGATGGGGGGTAGAGGGTACCTCTAGGTAGGGAATAGGAGTTGATGGGGGTAGAGGGTACTCTAGGTAGGGAATAGGAGTGATGGGGGGTAGAGGGTACCTCTAGGTAGGGAATAGGAGTGATGGGGGTAGAGGGTACCTCTAGGTAGGGAATAGGAGTGATGGGGGGGTAGAGGGTACCTCTAGGTAGGGAATAGGAGTGATGGGGGGTAGAGGTACCTCTAGGTAGGGAATAGGAGTGATGGGGGTAGAGGGTACCTAGGTAGGGAATAGAGTGATGGGGGTGAGGGTACCTCTAGGTAGGGAATAGGAGTGATGGGGGTAGAGGGTACCTCTAGGTAGGGAATAGGAGTGATGGGGGTAGAGGGTACCTCTAGGTAGGGAATAGGAGTGATGGGGGGTAGAGGGTACCTCTAGGTAGGGAATAGGAGTGATGGGGGGTAGAGGGTACCTCTAGGTAGGGAATAGGAGTGATGGGGGTAAGGGTTTACCTCTAGGTAGGGAATAGGAGTGATGGGGGTAGGGGTACCTCTAGGTAGGGAATAGGAGTGATGGGGGGTAGAGGGTACCTCTAGGTAGGGAATAGGAGTGATGGGGGGTAGAGGGTACCTCTAGGTAGGGAATAGGAGTGATGGGGGGTAGAGGGTACCTCTAGGTAGGGAATAGGAGTGATGGGGGTAGAGGGTACCTCTAGGTAGGGAATAGGAGTGATGGGGGGTAGAGGGTACCTCTAGGTAGGGAATAGGAGTGATGGGGGGGTAGAGGGTACCTCTAGGTAGGGAATAGGAGTGATGGGGGGTAGAGGGTACCTCTAGGTAGGGAATAGGAGTGATGGGGGTAGAGGGTACCTCTAGGTAGGGAATAGGAGTGATGGGGGTAGAGGGTACCTCTAGGTAGGGAATAGGAGTGATGGGGGGTAGAGGGTACCTCTAGGTAGGGATAGGAGTGATGGGGGGTAGAGGGTACCTCTAGGTAGGGAATAGGAGTGATGGGGGGTAGAGGGTACCCTCTAGGTAGGGAATAGGAGTGATGGGGGGGTAGAGGGTACCTCTAGGTAGGGAATAGGATGATGGGGGGTAGAGGGTACCTCTAGGTAGGGAATAGGAAGTGATGGGGGGTAGAGGGTACCTCTAGGTAGGGAATAGGAGTGATGGGGGGTAGAGGGTACCTCTAGGTAGGGAATAGGAGTGATGGGGGGTAGAGGGTACCTCTAGGTAGGGAATAGGAGTGATGGGGGGTAGAGGGTACCTCTAGGTAGGGAATAGGATGATGGGGGTAAGAGGGTACCTCGAAGGTAGGGATCAGGATGTGGGGGGTAGAGGGTACCTCTAGGTAGGGAATAGGAGTGATGGGGGGTAGAGGGTACCTCTAGGTAGGGTAATAGGAGTGATGGGGGGTAGAGGGTACCTCTAGGTAGGGAATAGGAGTGAATGGGGGGTAGAGGGTACCTCTAGTAGGGAATCGGAGTGATGGGGGGTAGAGGGTACCTCTAGGTAGGGAATAGGAGTGATGGGGGGTAGAGGGTACCTCTAGGTAGGGAATAGGAGTGATGGGGGGTTAGAGGGTACCTCTAGGTAGGGAATAGGAGTGATGGGGGGTAGAGGGTACCTCTAGGTAGGGAATAGGAGTGATGGGGGTAGAGGGTACCTCTAGGTAGGGAATAGGATGATGGGGGGTAGAGGGTACCTCTAGGTAGGGAATAGGAGTGATGGGGGGTAGAGGGTACCTCTAGGTAGGGAATAGGAGTGATGGGGGTAGAGGGTACCTCTAGGTAGGGAATAGGAGTGATGGGGGGTAGAGGGTACCTCTAGGTAGGGAATAGGAGTGATGGGGGGTAGAGGGTACCTCTAGTGTAGGGAATAGGAGTGATGGGGGGTAGAGGGTTACCTCTAGGTAGGGAATAGAGTGATGGGGGTAGAGGGTACCTCTAGGTAGGGAATAGGAGTGATGGGGGGTAGAGGGTACCTCTAGGTAGGGAATAGGAGTGATGGGGGTAGAGGGTACCTCTAGGTAGGGATAGGAGTGATGGGGGGTAGAGGGTACCTCTAGGTAGGGAATAGGAGTGATGGGGGGTAGAGGGTACCTCTAGGTAGGGAATAGGAGTGATGGGGGCTAGAGGGGTACCTCTATGTAGGGAATAGGAGTGATGGGGGGTAGAGGTACCTCTAGGTAGGGATAGGAGTGATGGGGGGTAGAGGGTACCTCTAGGTAGGGAATAGTAGTGATTGGGGGTAGAGGGGTACCTCTAGGGTAGGGGAATAGGAGTGATGGGGGTAGAGGGTACCTCTAGGTAGGGAATAGTAGTGATGGGGGGGTAGAGGGTACCTCTAGGTAGGGAATAGGAGTGATGGGGGGTAGAGGGTACCTCTAGGTAGGGAATAGGAGTGATGGGGGGGTAGAGGGTACCTCTAGGTCGGGGTAATAGGAGTGATGGGGGGTAGAGGGTACCTCTAGGTAGGGAATAGGAGTGATGGGGGGGTAGAGGGTACCTCTAGGTAGGGAATAGGAGTGATGGGGGGGGTAGAGGGTACCTCTAGGTAGGGAATAGGAGTGATGGGGGGTAGAGGGTACCTCTAGGTAGGGAATAGGAGTGATGGGGGGTTAGAGGGTCCTCTAGGTAGGGAATAGGAGTGATGGGGGGGTAGAGGGTACCTCTAGGTTGGAATAGGAGTGATGGGGGGTAGAGGGTACCCTCTAGGTAGGAATAGGAGTGATGGGGGGTAGAGGGTACCTCTAGGTAGGGAATAGGAGTGATGGGGGTAGAGGGTACCTCTAGGTAGGGAATAGGAGTGATGGGGGGTAGAGGGTACCTCTAGGTAGGGAATAGGAGTGATGGGGGGTAGAGGGTACCTCTAGGTAGGGAATAGGAGTGATGGGGGGTAGAGGGTAGTCTTTCAGCAGTCGTTCCTCGTCTAGGAACTTCCCAGCTCGTCCGTTGAAGGCCGGTTGGAACAGGCCGTAGTTTAGAACATCAGTCAGACTCTGTGTTAGAGTCACTAACACACGCTGCTTACTGCTCCACACCGCTGCTTCGGGATCCAACCGCAGACACTTCTACACACACACACACACACAGCTGGAAATTCATCAATCCATTTTGGAGGTAAGACTTGTCGTGTGTGTGTGTGTGTGTGTGTGAGTTTGTGCGTGTACCGTCTGCTGCAGGTCAGGGATGCCAATACGGATGACGATGCTGTTTCTGGAGCCGTCGTCAGGAGGATCTGGGGAGGAAGTTCTCCCGTCGTCCCTGGCAAGGGCGGGACCTGGCTGGTTGCCGTTGGTAGTGGCTGGTTGCCGGGGACGTTCAGGGGGGTCATGCTTAGCATCGGCAGCCGGACTCAGAGGCATGGGGTCACTCTCTGTCCACTCACAGCCCTACACACACACAGAGGAATCATACCTGTTGCCAACACTGCTAAATATTATAGTACAGTACTCATCATAACAGTAAAACAATAAAGGATCGACAATTATGACACAGAATGTACTAAAGTGAAGCGAGAGAAAGATACAGAGAGAGAAAGTGAGATACAGGGAGAGAGAGAGAGAGAGAGAGAGAGAGAGAGAGAGAGAGAGAGAGAGAGAGAGGAGAGGAGAGAGAGAGAGAGAGAGACAGAGAGAGAGAGAGAGAGAGAGAGAGAGAGAGAGAGAGAGACCCAGCTAGCACATTTGGTTCCTTGGAAGTTGTGGGAGCGTACAATTTTGGTTTCCCATTGGTTCTGTAAACGAAGCCATAAGTAACCTGACAAGTGAAATGGAAAGATTTTTTAAACGTTCTAAGAATGAAAGTGAAAATGTTGCCTGTTGTGGCAAAGCTGAAAAAAGCTGTTCATTTTAGTCTATTCAAACAGACCCCATTTCAAAGGAAACAAGAACTCATTGAGATCAGGTGTGGCCAATTAGTGGGCGTGGCCAACACACCTGAACACACTTAACAAGATAGAGGATAGAGAGAGTTTTGGTGAAGCTGAGAACGGAATGTATGTTTTTAAATAACATTCTTAGAACTTTACTAATGTTTACTTGCAGGGTTTTTGGGGAGTTTTCTTAATGTTCTGAGAACATGACTTTAAATAGAACCATGAGGAAACCTGTAGACCTCAGTGCTTAATTTGAGCCGGATCCAGCCGGAACAACAGTGGTGGAAAAAGATCCCAACTGTCATACTGGACTAAAAGTAAAGATACATTAATAGAAAATGACTCAAGTAAAAGTGAAAGTCATCCAGTAAAATACTACTTGAGTAAAAGTCTAAAAGTACTTGGTTTTAAATATAGTTAAGTATCAAAAGTAAATGTAATTGCTAAAATATACTTAAGTATTTAAAATAAAAGTATGAATCATTTCAAATTCCTTATATTAAGCAAACCAGACGGCATCCTTTTCTTGTTTTTATTTATTTACAGATATCCAGGGGCGCACTCCAACACTCAGAATCCTTTACAAATGAAGCATGTGTGTTTAGTGAGTCCACCAGATCAGAGGCAGTAGGGATGACCAGAGATGTTCTCTTGATAAGTGCATGAATTAGACCATTTTCCTGTCCTGCTAAGCATTCAAAATGTAAAGAGTACTTTTGGGTGTCAGGGAAAATGTATGGAGTAAAAAGTCCATTATTTTCTTTAGGAATGTAGCAAAGTCAAAGTTGTCAAAATATAAATAGTAAAGTGCAGATACCCCAAAATAACGACTTAATACTTTAAAGTATTTTTACTGAAGTCCTTTACACCACTGTGGAACAGGATCCGGCACCTCTCAGTTGGACTGTTTCGTTCTGGAACCCATTTGCCAGGATCCGGTACCTCTTGTGGCATGAAAAATAATTTTCACTGTTTGCAATGTAAAAATTCTAATAAAAGCAATCAGAGTTAATTGAAGTTGCCGCCTCTGTAATTCTCCTCCCCCCCTAAAAAACGTAATGTGAAAACATGCCTGGTATTCTAAATATTGATTGGTGTTGGGCCGGATAGCGTCTGTTATCCTGCTTCTCCTGGGCCCGTGAATGGTTCAATAATTGTGTGAGAGCTAGGAATGGGCGGGTTTCTCCATCCCCTTCTCCAGCCGTTGTATTGGGCAGTGGAGTCTATCATAGATCATGTGGGATTCAATGACATTATGAAGGGCAGCTCAGAACAGCTGAAGATGGATTTTAAAGAGCTGATTGGGTCTCTGCTTGACACCAACAAACGCCCCATAATATCTGGCCCTCTGCCCTCCCTAAATTGTGGCATTGAACTTTCAGCAGACTTTTAGCCCTCCATAACTGGCTACGAGACTATTGCAGCTCTGTGGGTGTAACATTTATTGACAATTTTCATAACTTCTGGAAACAAAGCTTGTTTTATAAGGAGGATGGGATCCACCCAAATCATTTGGGTTCCTGGATCCTTTCACAGCATTATAAAGCTGCGTTGAGACAATGACTTTTCAATGACCCAAGCCCAGCTCAGTTAATCCCTACCATTGTGTTGCTGAGTTGTCATAATGCTTCAGCAAATGTACATTATCTCAGGGGCGTTGGTACACACAATGTAAGTAACCTAATTTATGTCCTTCTTACTGCCCTGAATGTCTCTGCTGATCCTACAGCTATTGTATGCAGTAAACATATGCCTTTGAACCAGAGTTATACTGTTAGCACTGAGGTGGTGTGCCCTAGTAGGAGGTCCACTGTGTGCAGCTCACCCTGCACTACCATAAATAACATGAGCATGTCTACTTCTGCTAAGCTTCCCAGTAAAGCAATGAAAACAATCAAGCATCCCAGAAAAGTGTTACAGGAGCACACATTAACATATGTAGCTTAACAAACAAGGTTTGTGAAATCAATAATTTGCTAGTAACATATGACATTCATATTCTGACTATCTCTGAAACTCACTTAGATAATACCTTTGATGATACAGTGGTAGCAATACATGGTTATAACATCTACAGAAAATACAGAAATGCCAAAGGTGGAGGATTTAACGTTTATATTCAGAACCACATTCCTGTAAAGCTTACATGCTGATCACACCAACCGGGTCACGTGCGCAAGCATTACAAAATAAATGTACAAATATATGTTATTCAATCATTGCACCCACACTGCTTGTACGTGTCAATGAGCGTCTGCGTAGCCAGGCGCTAAAATAGAACTTGGTTCTATTTGTGACGCTTGACGCGCTGCAAGTCCTGCCTCTCCCATCTCCTCATTGGTTTTTAGGAGCATATACCCACGTAGGTGATTGAAAGATCAACTGCGGTCCACACTCCAGTCCAGTTGGTGGTGGTAATGCACCTTAAAGTTGGTTGACAACCGAAATATAAAGTCCAAAGGAGAAGAAGAAGACTGAAGGAGGAGCGATTACTAGAAACTAACTCGGTTTACCCTTTTATCTGTGGATTAATTGTCGGAGTGAAGGACCTTGTGCATTTCAGGTAAAATAACAACCCAATGTTTATATCCCAGGAGAAATCAGCTAGCAACAGCAAGCTAGCTAGCTAAATTGCCATGAATGTTTAATGCTTTTCGACCTGTCCCCAAATGAATATAGTTGTTTCAGAGTTCGTTTTGATATTTCAACCTGTGTGTCCTAATCGCGTCTGGTGTGGGTGGACAAAATCAACATGCGCGCGAGCGGTGTGGTCAGCATGTTAGAGAGGATCTCATGTTAAATACTGTTGAGTAATATGGCTACAGGTTCATCTGCCTCACCTAAAGCCCATTCTAGTGGGAAGCTGCTATAGACCACCAAGTGCTAACAGTCAGTATCTGGATAATATGTGTGAAATGCTTGATAATGTATGTGATGTCAATAGAGAGGTATATTTTCTGGGTGATTTAAATATTGACTGGCTTTCATCAGGCTGCCCACTCAAGACAAAGCTTTAAACTGTAACTAGTGCTGCAACCTGGTTCAGGTTATCAGTCAACCTACCAGGGTAGTTACAAACAGCACAGGAATGCAATCATCAACATGTATTGATCACATCTTTACTAATGCTGCAGAAATTTGCTTTAAAGCAGTTTAGCCCAATCACAAGACTTGCCTACAGTCGGGAACACGTGGCAAATCTGTCAGTGAACAGCATGCATCCAAAACAGGCCTTTAGAAATATTGTTGCCTGAAATATTTCAAATACAATCACGGGAAAACAGGTTGGAAAGCAAATGGCTCCTGCTGAAAAGAGAATATTAAACTGTCTGTAGGCTACCAAATATGTAATCAACTTCTAAATAGGCCTATTGAGCGAAGAGTGTTGTTTTAGAAAGTAAAACGAGAGAGAGATAGGCTTTTGTCAGGAGCGCATTGGACATCACCGGTGATGCGCATCATTGGGGGAGTCAGTGAAACTGGACTATCATTTCCTCCTCATAGTGTTCATATAGTACACTCAGGCCTAGGCTAATTACTGTCTGTTTGTCAGGGTCAAAGTAGCCTGTCATTTCCATCATTTGTGAGGTATTAAAGATTCTGCTAAAGTCTCCAGTCATCTAAAATGATGTAGAATGACATGAAATGCATCTATAAAAGGCTTTAAAAAAGTTTTCCCCCTTTTGTGCAATTTCTGCAAGTCCCTCTACTCTACTGCTCTATGCAAGCATGGAAAAGCAATGATAATGCAGCAATGATAATGTAGCAATGATAATGCAGCAATGATAATGCGGCAATGATAATGCAGCAATGATAATGCCTGCAACGCTTTATTGTGTGGTTTTTTTTATGCTTTCCGGTACCTCTGCGCCCCCCAGGCCACACCCCTCTCGCCTCACTTTTTGTTCTGGCACCTCCCAATTTACAAATTAAGCAACTGGAAAGCGTAATGCTGAAGTTCCCACAGAATAATGTTGTTTCTTAACGTTCTCTGGACAATTTGAGAACATGATTTCAAATAGAACCATGAGTAAACCTGTAGGAAATATTATACTGAAGTACTGAAATTCCCACCTAAGAAACATATGGTTCTCAGAATGTAATTTGCTAGCTGGGTATCCT